GTTGGGGAAGCTACTTTGAAAATATAGTTTACCAAGCTACCAATTACTTCACACTGGAAGAAGTTAAGCTACACTAAAGCAACACTTAAAAAATATAAAGTTACTTTGAAAAAGTAGTTCACTACATCCAAACTAATTTGTTAAAAATTATCATGTGTAAATTTGCAAAATGTAGTTAAATTACTAGTCGAACTGCATGTTGTTCACTACTCCCATCACTGGAGCCTCTGGCAGGTTGCTAACTCAGGATTAGATACTGTGGTGTAGCAGTAGCTCGGGGATAGGTAGGGTTATTTCTGTTGACAGGGATCCGAAATGGACTCTCTCAGGAGGGAGACATAAAGGAGATTGAGCTTTCCGTTGTACTAAGCTTAGGAACGTTATCAAGATATGATCCAAGATGGCGTAGCAGTGCGGTCGTGTTCTTTGTTGTGTGTCCATGTAAATAGCCTGTTTTTTGTATTTTTTTGTATTTTTCGTTTGACTTTATGTTTTGTTTTACCCCATATGTAACTCTGTGTTGTTGTTTTTTTAGCGCACTGCTTTGCTTTATCTTGGCCAGGTCGCAGTTGTAAATTAGAACTTGTTCTCAACTGGCTTACCTGGTTAAATAAAGGTGAAAAAAAATATATATATACATATATATATATATATTTGTGTGTTGTGGTTGGTTGTTAGGTTGAGTTTTTAGAGCTGACAGATTATTTTAATTGGAAGATTCAATGTGTTGAATTTATTCATTGGTTCTTAACTGTTTCTAAAATACATACAGAGCATTCGGAAAGTATTCAGACCCCTTGACTTTTTCCACATTTTGTTATGTTACAGCCTTATTCTAAAATTGATTAAATTAATTGAATTCCTCATCAATCTACATACAATACCACATATGACAAACCGAAAACAGGTTTTTAGAAATGTTTGCAAATGTATTAAAAATAAAAAACTGAAATATCACATTTACATAAGTATTCAGACCCTTTGCTATGAGACTCGGAATTGAGCTCAGGTGCATCCTGTTTCCATTGATCATCCTTGAGATGTTTTTACAACTTGATTGGAGTCCACCTGTGGTAAATTCAATTGATTGTTTGTGATTTGGGAAGGCACACACCGGTCTACATAAGGTCCCAGAGTTGACAGTGCATGTCAAAGCAAAAACCAAGCCATGAGGTCGAAGGAATTGTCCGTAGAGCTCTGAGACAGGATTGGGTCGAGGCACAGATCTGGGGAAGGGTACCAAAACATTTCTGCAGCAATAAAGGTACCCAAGAACACAGTAGCCTCCATCATTCTTAAATGGAAGAAGTTTGGAACCCCCAAGACTCTTCCTAGAGCTGGCCACCCAGCCAAACTGAGCAATCGGGGGAGAAGGGCCTCGGTCAGGGAGGTGACCAAGAACCCGATGGTCACTCTGACAGTGCTCCAGAGTTCCTCTGTGGAGATGGGAGAACCTTCCAGAAGGGCAAACATCTCTGCAGCACTCCACCAATCAGGCCTTTATGGTAGAGTGGTCAGACGGAAGCCACTCCTCAGTAAAAGGCACATGACAGCCCACTTGTAGTTTGCCAAAAGGCACATAAAGGACTCTCAGACCATGAAAAACAAGATTCTCTGGTCTGATGAAACCAAGATTGAACTCTTTGGCCTGAATGCCAAGCGTCACGTCTGGAGGAAACCTGGCACCATCCCTACGGTGAAGTATGGTGGTGGCAGCATCATGCTGTGGGGATGTTTTTCAGCGGCAGGGACTGGGAGACTAGTCAGGATCGAGGGAAAGATGAACGGAGCAAAGTACAGAGAGATCCTTGATAAAAACCTGCTCCAGAGTGCTCAGGACCTCAGACTGGGGCGAAAGTTCACCTTCCAACAGGACAACGATCCTAGGCACACAGCCAAGACAACACAGGAGTGGCTTCGGGACAAGTCTCTGAATGTCCTTGAGTGGCCCAGCCAGAGCCCGGACTTGAACCCGATCAAACATCTCTGGAGAGACCTGAAAATAGCTGTGCAGCGACGCTCCCCATCCAACCTGACAGAGCTTAAGAGGATCTGCAGAGAAGAATGGGAGAAACTCCCCAAATACAGGTGTGCCAAGCTTGTAGCGTCATACCCAAGAAGACTCAAGGCTGTAGTCGCTGCCAAAGGTGCTTCAACAAAGTACTGAGTAAAGGGTCTGAATACCTATGTAAATGTGATATTTCCGTTTTGCTTTTTTAACATGTTTTTGCTTTGTCATAACTTTTTTTATTTGTTTATTTAACCTTTATTTAACCAGGTAAGCCAGTTTAGAACAAGTTCTCATTTACAACTGTGACCTGGCCAAGATAAAGCAATGGGGTATTGTGTGTAGATTTATGAGAAAAAAAATCTACAATTTAATCAATTTTAGAATAAGGATGTAACGTAACAAAATGTGGAAAAAGTCAAGGGGTCTGAATAGTTTTCGAATGCACTGTATTCGTTAGATGTAGGCAAAGAGTCACGCAGGACTACCATGCTTTTGAACTCAGCAACGCTAAAATGCAAATTTTAATTACACAGTTAGAAAGTCCATTTACTCTATTCACGTCCCGGACAAGCCCACAAAACCGATTAGCAAACCTGTAAAAAACATTCAAGAAAAAAAGCATGACTTGTAAATTGTAAAATACCTTGAAAAATGAAAAAAGCTGATGTTTTTGGCCTGTTTGGAATTACTGGGTGAATTAAGTCGACTCGGAGCTCCTTAGAACAGATCACGAGGTTATGTAGAGAGGAACGTGTCCTATTCATGAATTTGGCCAAAGTAATCATCCCAGAGTCAACATTTAATCCCCTATGCTCACATTGTAAAGTGTCAATGCAGCTACTTCATTAGTGGTTGTCACGTACACTACACACTCAGAACTTGACTTTTACAGCAGGTCTGACTGTAACACAGGATTTAAAGAAGGGAAGGGAAAGGGGGATACCTAGTCAGTTGCACAACTAAATGAGTCTTCCGCATTTAACCCAACCCCTCTGAATCAGAGAGGTGCACGGGGCTGCCTTAATCAACGTACACATCATCAGTGCCCGGGGAGCAATTGTTGTTTGGAGTTAACTGACTTGCTCAAGGGCAGAATGGCAGATTTTTCCACCTTGCCGGCTTGGGGATTCAAACCAGCGACCTTTCGGTTACTGGCCCAATGCTCTTAACCCCTATGCTAACTGGTAACTGAGTAACTGGGTTTTATTTGGGGATTTATAACAAACTTTAGGGGTTTCTGATACTAACCAACCCCAAATATGCAGATAAAAATGGTAATACTAGAAAGATCATGCCATTCCTATCACTCAACACAGACTTGACCGAGCACAGAACTCATGGACTGCGTTTACACAGGCAGCCCAATTATGATCTTTTTCCACTTAAGGCCTTTGCAGACTGTATGATTTTAGCTGTTTTATGCCACGTGGGCTAATTCTTAGGTCGTAAACTGACCAATAGGAACACGGCTGGCACTGAGTATGCACACAATAATACGACTATTGTGAATAGTCAGATTTACACAATATTTTTATTTAAACGTTTAGATGCTGTGCAAGAAGAACGACTTCCCTAATAATCTTGTTTATATGACACATCTAATATCAGGCTACCTGATGGGATTTTGAGTTCTGACAAGTTTGTATGTGAAAACTATTTCTAAGATGCATACTTTCAGTTTTTCCACAACTCACTTTACTTGCGTATAAGTATAGAGTGAGGCTTGCGCTGCTGGTGCTGGCACAAATACACAGCTGCAGTTGACATAGCCTACATTGGCTGATGTAGCTTCGCAAGCCAATCACAGGATGTGACAAGAGAACTGAAGCAAATCGTACAATCTGGCCAGGTTGATATCAAGATTTTTATTTGGTAACATCGCACAGTGTGACGTGATAATCAAAGAAGACTGAATCCGACATAGTCTGCAAAGGCCTTAATTGGTCTTTTGACCAATCAGAGCAGCTCAAAAAAAGATCTGATGTAAAAAGATCTGATGTGACTGGTCAAAAGACAATTAGTGGAAAAATTGGTCTGCCTTTGTAAATGCAGCCATGTTGACGCATCTATCCGATCTGACCTCAGCAATCCCTGGCCCACAACAGAGATCACATGGTCAAGGAGCAGCACTTAAACCCACTCATGGGTTAAGGAGGACTGTGATTGGATGGCTTGTAAGCCCCTTCAGACCTCTTTCTAATTGGGTCATACTGTAATGTGTGTCCCTCCCAATCAGAAAGGATCTATGTGGTCACATGGGGCAATTCCATTTAGAGCTGATCAGATGCAAAGTTTGGTAACAGAATGACGGTTTGTGCTGTCAGCTACCAAAGTTTGGTAGCTGTCAGCTACCAAGCTTTGCATTTGCACTGTTCTTCAAGTAAATGTGTTTTTGTAAAATGTTCAGTGGAAATTGTTAACAGTAGTCTTTGTGCATAGAGTTGTATGGTTTGTTTAACTTTGTAATCATAGTTTTTTGTTTGACATACATTATTAAGTAAAAAATCTCAGCATCACTCTGTTACTGTGGGCATAGCTTTGAACTGGAAACTAGGGTGCATCGTTCTGTTCATTTATTTAATGAGTACTTGAGAACAGATTTATTTAAATCAAGTCTCCTGACCTGACCTGGCAAGCCGCATCACCCCTAATTGGGAGAGTCCAGCACATAACCAAATAACACTTATAGAACTTGCTACCAGACAGTGGACTTTCTGAAATGGCTTGTGTATTAAGATCAGAAAGAAAATGTGGCACTTAACTTGTCTTAAGTCAATTGTTTTCTATCATTACCGCATGCTTATGACAACCAATATAACACAGTAACGAGTCATGAAACTTGGCAAAGCTTGAATTTTGACCATTGATTAAATCAATAATACCCTATGGAATAATCAATTAAGAACACTCTAAACCACAGCGTTCAGTGTGTTTACTGTATTGTATCCTTCCAGTCCCTGATCATGTTGCTCTCTTTCCTCTGGTCTAGGAAGGCTCGACGGACAGCCTGTATGAGCCTGCCCTCAACAAACACCCAGTCATCCAGGAACACAGCAGTGGAGTTCCCAGTCAACACAATAGCCCTTCTTTGAGGGACAGGGCCAAGTGGAGAGGCTCAGATCCATGTATACCCACGGTGAGTTCAACCAGATGTTCAACAAACTATCAATACACTAACTAACTACTGTAACCCTAACCCTAGGCAAGTTGTTGCATATCAACACACTTGCAAGTTTGAGAATTTATAGACCACCTATAGTTGACTATCCAAATAAAGTGGGACCTAAAGTAGACCTCATATCATACCTCATATCAGGCCAAAAGCTTCCAACACACTGACATTAGTCTCCAACAACAACAGACACTGCTCGTGACCTGGGACTGCAGTCTGCTGCTAAAACTTCTGGTCACTGGATGGGTGCCTGATGACCAACCTCTCTGTGTAAGCCTATATGAACCTCTAGGTTTCATCAGGGTATTCGGAAGTGATTTCAGCAGACCTGCTTGTGCAATACATTATGTCTGCCAAATCAATGCAAAGTGTTACATTCCATTTATTTTCTTCCCAGGAGCTGTCCGAAACTCACAAATCCCATTTGAAAAAGAAAAAGAGAAGGTATGGAACATTTGTGATATGTATGTCTGTCAGTCAATACATGCTGTGGTTAAAGTGAGAGTGAGGGGCTTAGTTAACCATTGAAATGGATGCTAAGATGTGCTGCTCATAACTCCAGGAAATAATGAGTTAATCAGGAGTTCTCAGCAGGTCCACCATTAGCGTTTTGGTCCTTCTCATGGTGGCCTTCACTCTCCAAGCCTCCAGGCAGCTGTCTGTTTGGATCTTGGTCCCTTGCTCAAACCCATTTATATCACAACAAGGGCATGGTTCACAGTCTGCTTTGACTGAGGACTGGATTCTTTTTTAATGAATGTTGAAGGCCAAGGGCATTCCTAGTAATTCAAGCAATTACACACTGAAAGCTTTTGTATTTTTCTATACATTTGACAAATTACATGCAGTCTAATTGATCTTATCCACTTAATTCTACAGTAATAAACAATTAAAGATGGAACTATTTTCTTAAAGATGTACTTCTCTACAAAGATCCACAAACAAACTGCCAAGCCCAGTTCATTTACCGATGTAGGTGGAACATAAAAATATGTTTACAGTTCTAAACGTGGAGCCTATTCGCTAGCCTGTGGTTGTGTTTAAGTATGATATTAGATCAATGGTGTGTATTAGGTTTTATGGTGCAATTTCACGGACGAGCGCATTGGGTGGGATTACGATTAGATTAGTTGGGACAAGAGTTGGGATTTAATCACTCCTTTGACCCACCTTCTTAACAGGAGGTCAACGACGACCCCAACAGGGGTATTATCACTCAGATACGTCACAATAACAAGTCACACACTGTATCAGTCTAGCCTGGTCCCAGATCTGTTAGTGCTGTATAAACTCGTAAACTCAGACCATAGGAGATAGCAAGACAGCACATACAGATCAAGGATCAGGCCAGTATGAGCCAGTTGTTTAAGAGCACACAGACAGATTTAGACTGGTATCTAGATTCATAATGGGCCTGTTGGTGGCAATGGGTCCAAACTTATTGGCATAGAAGCTGCTTTGTAAATCTTTGTTTATAATACCTTTGCCGATTTAGATTAATTAAGAGTCTAAAATGTAAGCTAAAAAAATGACAAGATTTATAGACAGATTTCACAGAAAGGTTGTTGGAAATACAATACCTTGGATTTGGATATCCAGAATTCTTGAATTATGTAGGTAAATTTGTATTTGTATTTATTACCCCATTAGCGGCTGCCAAGGCAGCAGCTACTCTTCCTGGGGTCCAACCACAATTTAAATACAATAAAACAATACATAACACAACACCTTATTACACTCTACTCTACCATAACATATTTACAATACAAAATCAATAATACAGCAAAATAACAATATTAAAATGTGTGTGTAGAGTGTGTGTGTTAGCATGTGTTTGCGAATGCTGTGTGTGTGCCTGTGTGTGTGTGTGTGTCTCTTCATTGTCCACGCTGTTCCATAAAGTGTAGTTTTATCTGTTTTTTAAATCTGATTTTACTGCTTGACTGAGTTACATGATGTGGAATAGAGTTCCATGTAGTCATGGCTCTATGTAGTACTGTGCGTTTCCCATAGTCTGTTCTGGACTTGGGGACTGTGAAGAGACCTCTGGTGGCATGTCTCGTGGGGTATGCATGGGTGTCCGAGCTGTGTGCCAGCATTCCAAACAGACAGCTCAGTACATTCAGCTTGTCTACACCTCTTTAACAAATCTCTCTTCCACTCAAAGCCAGGAGAGACTAACATGCATGTCATTAATGTTAGCTCTCCGTGTACTTTTAAGGGCCAGCCGTGCTGCCCTGTTCTGAGCCAACTGCAATTTTCCCAAGTCCCTCCTTGTGGCACCTGACCACACTACTGAACAGTAGTCTAGGTGCGACAAAAATAGGGCCTGTAGGACCTGCCTTGTTGATAGTGTTGTTAAGAACACAGAGCAGCGCTTAATTATGGACATACTTCTCCCCATCTTAGCTACTGTTGTATCAATATGCTTTGACCACAACAGTTTACAATCCAGGGTTACTCCAAGCAGTTTAGTCATGCTAAATTCCACATTATTCATTACGAGATGTAGTTGAGGTTTAGGGTTTAGTGAATGATTTGACCCAAATACAATGCTTTATTTTTGAAATATTTAGGACTAACTTATTCCTTGCCACCCATTCTGAAAATAACTGCAGCTCTTTGTTAAGTGTTGCTGTCATTTCAGTCTCTATGGTAGCTGACGTGTATAGTGTTGAGTCATCCGGATACATAGACACATTGGCTTTACTCAAAGCCAGTGGAAGGTCGTTAGTGAAGATGGAAAAAGGTAAGGGGCCTAAACAGCTGCCCTGGGGAATTCCTGATTCTACCTGGATTAAGTTTGAGAGGCTTCCATTAAAGAACACCCTCTGGGTTCTGTTAGACAAGTAACTCTTTATCCACATTATAGCAGGGGGTGTAAAGCCATAACACATACGTTTTTCCAGCAGCAGACTATGATCGATAATGTCAAAAGCTGCACTGAAGTCTTACAAAACAGCCTGGTGTGCTTGTTGAATGTCCTTCTCTATAAGCATGCTGAAAGTATGTTGTCAATTTGTTTACTGTAAAATAGCATTGTATCTGGTCAAACACAATTTTTTCCAATAGTTTACTAAGGGTTGGTAACAGGCTAATTGGTCGGCTATTTGAGCCAGTAAAGGGGTTTTTACTATTCTTAGGTAGCGGAATGACTTTTGCTTCCCTCCAAGCCCTGGGGCACATACATTCTAATAGGCTTAAATTGAAAATATGGCAAATAGGAGTGGCAATATCGTCCGCTATTATCCTCAGTAATTTTCCATCCAAGTTGTCAGACCCCGGTGGCTTGTCATTGTTAATAGACAACAATAATGTTTTCACCTCTTCCACACTCACTTTACGGAATTCAAAATTACAATGCTTGTCTTTCATAATTTGGTCAGATATACTTGGATGTGTAGTGTCAGCAATGGTCTTGGTGTAAAGCCTGACAAAGACCCAAACTGTTCAAAACATTGCTGAGATGGGTCAAAATGTAAGTAATGTGGAAGTTATTTCAGGATATTTAGGCAAGTTAGCTTACTAACGCCTTGATCCTACTTTGTAGTATACCCCTCAGAGTTTATTTTCATTTGTAATTTCAGATCACATGTACCAACAACGTCAACATTGGACAATGAAACCTTAGGTCAGTACAAAAATCAGATCAGTTTGTCCTTTTCAAATTGCAATTCATTGATACGTCTGTGACATGCTCACACATGATTGAATGAAATTAAAACCACTAGCTTCTTACTAACTTTGCTTTAGTCCTGCTCTCCGATTGTATTTTGAGCTGTATAGTGCGCACACAGCCAAAATACTGCCCTCAGTAACCTACTTGGCCGTGTTAGTGCTACTGGCTTGTGTAGTCTATTTGATTTCACTTGGTTTCTTCTTAGCCTTGCTTCTACTAATATATAGACCTTATTGGCCTCTTTCCCTCCCCTAACCCCTCTGTTGCAGATAACACAGACACTAATAATGTCTACTGGCAGTCATCCAGAGAGAAGCAAGATTTAGTTCTCATCAAGACTAATCACAATGAAGGTCAACACTCAGAAAAATATGTCAGCCAGAGAACATAAACCCCATGTTCCATTTAGGATAGTCTGCTTGCTAAGGCCAGAGAGAGACACTATGTGTGTGTAAAAGGCTTGTAGGATTTAGTTAATGAGGACAGATACAGATAGACCCACTGATGCTCCCCATGCTTTTTCAAAGTCAGTGGAGAAAAAAAAAACTATTGCAGTGTTTTGTTATGTGGAGGGATTATGTTAAATGAGACAGCTGAATGAGAGCAAATAGGGTGTATGTTGTAGGGTGTAAAAAACAAACTGAGGCTGAGACAGATGGCCGGGGCAGTTTCATTTGGATTCTGGACCATGTGTGGTAGTTACAGTAGTTAACCCTACACATGCACACAGTGGCGACCTGTCATTCAGGGCAGGTGGGGCAGTGCCCCACCTGTTTTGACCCCCACCTGTTTAAAAAATACAATTCAAAAAAGTAGGCCTGTTTTGCATGTAATTCTGGCATTAATTCATATCACATTTCAGTTTAGCAAACAATGTAAAAAATAATAACAACATTTAAATAATAAAGAGTCATACAAACTTGGTCTCCTTTGAGTAAGGCAGCTCCAAAATGCAGCTGTTTCAGCCTAGCTCAGTGCTTTCTGTGGTGGAGGGGCAGCCAGCGAAAGCACAGAGAGTAGGTGTTGTTAATCTTCTCTGGTTGCGCCATGATTGGCTCAGGGTTCTGTCACTCATGGGGACATTATGTCACTGCAGAATCTACGAGAGAGCTAGGCCAAAGATGATGGACATACTGACAAGATACATGTCTCTCTGCCCTAACAATGGGTGTCGTTGTCCACAAAGTGGCACAGCAGCCTTTCTTTAGATTGGTGGAAACATCTCATTATTGCAATTCTTTTTTTGAACATTCGATGAGGGTTGTTGACGTCAACCACCTGTATTCAGTGGAGAGAGATGCTATGCTACTAGCCTCACGCCATGAAAATGCATAGCAATCTCGAGATAACTCTGATGTAAAGTGTTCTTTCTCAAAGTTGCCCGGATGTCACGTGTCCTATTTATATCAGTACACAGTAACAACTTAAGCATTACGAAACTTCTATTCAATCAAATAAACCTCACATAGAAAATAAGCAATTCATTTTTTTGTTGACCAAATTTGGCACTCTCTCATTGACCTCCATGCAAAAACTCCTTGCTTGGTGGGTGAAACAACGAAAAGACGCCACCTGCTGGAGGGAGACAGATTATCCACTGAGTTGGTCTCTTCCACTTCCTCTCTGGCTAGGCATTTGAAGACCCCCTGGGGTGCTACCATAGATTTACAGTAGAAGTGCTCATCCAAGAAGGCTCAAGGTCATCAAAATTAAGTCAAATCACGTTATATCTCCCGTAGCTTTAATTGGACTGATCATGTCAACATCATACTTTCAAAATCTTAGCTAGCAAGCAAGCAGTCATCATCATTATTCGCGTTGACAATGTACTGGCAAATCCTTTTCAATCCTTGCCATATGAAGAGAAATTAGAGATAAAACGTCTTGGTGCTCATCGGCCATTGGACATAAACATTACACACCAAGTCGGAAATGGCAAATTCTACAAAAAGTGGTTTGGAAGGAAGCAGTGGCTAACTGCAAGCATCGCAAAGCAATCACTATTTTGCTTCCCCTGCCTGCTATTTGGTGGAGAGGGTGTGGGTCAAGTCTGGGTTTAAGGACTTAAAACATCTGTCTGAAAGTGTCTCAAAACATAAGAATTGTGCATCACATGTAGACAACGCTGTTAAACTCGGATGACTGGGGAAATCAAACATTGTGGCTCAGATAGACACCCTTTCAGAATGTATTCACACCCCTTGACTTTTTCCACATTGTGTTGTGTTACAGCCTGGCCTACACACAATATCCCATAATGTCAAAGTGGAATTATGTTGACTACCTCATGAAGCTGGTTGAGAGAATGCCAAGAGTGTGCAAAGCTGTCATCAAGGCAAATGGTGGCTACTTTGAAGAATCTCAAATATAAAACATATTTTCATTTGTTTAACACTTTTTTGGTTACTACATGATTCCATATGTGTTATTTCATAGTTTTGATGTCTTCACTATTATTCTACAATGTAAAAAATAGTAAAAATAAAGAAACCTCTGGAATGAGTAGGTGTGTCCAAACTTTTGACTGGTACTGTACATTGTATTCAGAAAGTATTCACACCCCTTGACTTATACATTTTGTTGTGTTACAGCCTGAATTTAAAATTGATTAAATTGAGATTTTGTTGGTCACTGGCCTACACACAATACCCAATAATGTCAAAGTGGAATTATGTTTTTCAAAATGTTTACAAATTAATAAAAAATGAAAAGCTTAAATGTCTTAAGTCAATAAGTATTCAACCCCTTTCTTATGGCAAGCCTAAATAAGTTCAGGAGTAAAAACTTGTTTAACAAGTCACATAATAAGTTGCATGGACTCACTCTGTGTGCAATAATAGTGTTTTACATGATTTTGAATGACTACCTCATCTCTGTACCCCACACATACAATTATCTGTAAGGTCCCTCAGTCGAGCAGTGAATTTCATACCCTGATTCAACAACAAAGACCAGGGAGGTTTTCCAATACCTTGCAAAGAAGGGCACCTATTGGTAGATGTGTAAACGTTTTAAAAAAAGCAGACATTGAATATCGATTTGAGGATAATGAAGTTATTAATTACACTTTGGATAGTGTATCAATACACCCAGTCACTAAAAAAATACAGGCGTCCTTCCTAACTCAGTTGCTGGAGAGAAAGGAAACCGCTCAGGGATTTCACCATGAGGCCAATGGTGACTTTAAAACACTTACAGAGTTTAATGGCTGTGATAGGAGAAATCAGAGGATGGATCAACAACATTGGAGTTACTCCACAATACTAACCTAAATGACAGCGTGAAAAGAAGTAAGCCTGTACAGAATAAAAATATTCCAAAACATGCATCATGTTTGCAGCAAGGTACTAAAGTAATACTGCAATAAATGTGGCAAAGCATTTCAGTTTTTGTCTTGAATACAAAGTGTTATGTTTGGGGAAAATCCAACACAACACATTACTGAGTACCACTCTCCATATTTTCAAGAATAGTGGTGGCTGCATCATTTATGGGTATACTTGTAATCGTTAAGGACTGGGGATTGTTTTAGAATAAAAAAGAAACGTAATGGAGGTAAGCACAGGCAAAATCCTAGAGGAAAACCTGGTTCAGTCTGCTTTCTACCAGACACTGGGAGATGAATTCACCTTTCAACAGGACACTAACCTAAAACACAAGGCCAAATCTACACTGGAGTTGCTTACCAAGAAGACAGTGACTGTTCCTCAGTGGCTGAGTTACATTTTTGACTTAAATCTGCTTGAAAATCTATGGCAAGACCTAAAAATGGTTGTCTAGCAATGATAAACAACCAATTTGACAGAGCTTGAAGAATTTTTAAAATAATAATGGGCACAATCCAGGTGTGGAAAGCTCTTAGAGACTTACCCAGAAAGAGGGCTGTGAATACTTATGTAAATTAGATATTTCTGTATTTAATTTTCAATACATTTGCAAACATTTCTAAAAACTTGTTTTCACTTTGTCATTATGGGGTATTGTGTGTAGATGGGTGAGGGAAAAAAACGATTGAATCCATTTTGAATTCAGGCTGTAACGCAACAAAATGTGGAATAGGTCAAGGGGTATGAATACTTTCTGAAGACGAGCCATCGATCTTCACAACCAACAAACGTGCTTGCCAGAATTAAAACATGCATTCAATTGTGTTGCTGAACGAATAGGCCTATAGGCTACGTACGTCTCAGCTCGCTCATGTCTTATGCCCCGTTTACATCGTGACGTATTTCATTACACCGTACGTCATCTTCACAGAGTCTTGCCCCGCTTTTGAACGGACAAGTGTAGTGTTTCTAACACAAGATGGAGGAGATCCTGTCTTTTGTTAGAGATCACATTTATTTTGGGAGATTACAAAGTATGACCGGAGCAGCTAGCTAGCTAAAAGCTAGGCTAGGTTGAAGATACCATTGTAGATAGCGACCTCCACCCAATAATTATCTTCAAAAACAAACGTAATTACATCACAATAAACTTAAACGGGAGGCAACAGTTATATATTCTAATTGGCTAACAGCCTATGTGTATTATTTAACATTACTATTAAAATAGTACTCACTTATAGGAATGGGTAATTGTTTACAAGTTGCTATCTGTCCCATAAAGCCATCACCGAAAACCACATATTTCATCTTCTTCTGTGGTTTGGTAACTTTCTGTTCCTCAACGGACTCTGGCTGGACTGAAGACGACACCTCCCCCAAAAAGTATCTAAGTATGCATTGTCCATCTCGCAACGGAGCCTTCAACCACAAGGGGGCATTGCGTTTCCACTCTGTTTTGTTCGTCCACATTGAAATGCATGACATCCGGCGCAACATAATGGAGTGCTAATGGGTAATGTGAACGAGGCTTTAATCTAAATTACGGCTTGCCTCTTATGCGCTCATTGTTCCTGTGATGAGTGATTTCGAAGGAGTCAGGCGCAGGAGGATAAATCACAGAATAACAGGATTTATTTTGAAATACAGAGTTACGCAGTAATGCGTCAAAACACTCCAGTGTGCAAAACAGGAAACAACAAGGCACACAGGGAAATGTCCCGGCAATACAAAATACAAGTTGCTCCACTGAGCTTCTCTATCCTCCACAATAAACAATCACACACAAAGACAAGGGGGCAGAGGGAACACTTATACAGGTACTGATGAGGGGACATGAATAAACAAGACAAAACCAATGGAATGATGAGATGAGGAGCGGCAGTGTCTAGAAGGCCGGTGACGACGAACGCCGAAGCCTGTCCGAACAAGGAGAGGAGGCAGCTTCGGAGGAAGTCGTGACAGTTCCCTAATCCCGTAGTTCGTAGATCTCCATTGTTTTATTGCTTATATACACTGAGTGTACAAAATATTAAAAACACCTTCCTAATATTGAGTTGCACCTCCTTTTGCCCTCAGAACAGCGTTCCCCATTTTGACGCTGACGCGTCCCACAGTCCTTTGGGTGGTGGACCATTCTTGATACACACAGTAAACTGTTGAGCGTAAAAAACCCAGCAGTGTTGCAGTTCTTGACACACTCAACGTGCCTGGCTCCTACTACCATACCCCGTTCAAAGGCACTTAAATCTAGCCCATTCACCCTCTGAATGGCACACATACACAATCCATGTCTCAGTTGTCTCAAGGTTTAAGAATTCTTCTTTAACCTGTCTCCTCCCCTTCATCTACGCTGGTTGAAGTCGATTTAACATCAATAAGGGATCATAGCTTTCACCTGGATTCACCTGGTCAGTCTATGTCATGGAAAGAGCAGGTGTTCCTAATCTTTTGTACACTCGGTGTAGGTCAGACTCATTAGTATCTTATTAATCATTTTAGGCAATGTTAGATTGATGAATTGCATTGTTTTGCTTACTTTGTGCATACTATATATATAGCAAGGAGGGCATACTATATAATGTTGTTGGGTTTGTAACCATGTTTGCCATTGACAATCAACTATTTGTGTTCATCAAAAAGTTCAATAATAGACCCATGTAACCTAATTCCAGTTCATTTTGCGGGGGTTATTTTGTTTCTGTGCGTCTATAAAAGTGGATCCTCATGATTGTATTTTCCTTCTTTTTTAGACCACATAATAAAATACTTCAAATGGTAGGCTAACCGCTGAGTCCTTGTCTCTCTCTCTCTCTCTCTCTCTCTCTCTCTGTCTCTGTCTCTTCTCTCTCTCTCTCTCTCTCTCTGTGTGTGTGGTGACTTAAAGAAGAGTAATGTTAAGGCCTCAACATCTTGCTGAATTTATCTGAACTAACATATATATGAAGTTCTGTTGCTGTTGTTAGGATCTGAACAAACAGAGTTAAAAACTCAAACGGACGACTAGAAAAAGCTAAAACCAAGTTTATTCACCCACTGGGTCAAACAGCTGCAAAGACAAGGCATGATTACACAAGCACATATATTTATAACCTTCTAATAGGCGGGGTCAACTCCTTACACATCTAGACAACCAATACATCTCTGTTGCTAGGCAGGAATTTAATTGGTTCCTCTCACTGGTGTAGTCACAGCCCTGCCTGGTACTAAAACCCTTGTGGGCGTGGAAGTGTATGTGTGAGATAGGACTGTAGTAGGAAAGTCGTTGTGGTGGGCCTCTATGGCCCCCCTCCCAGAGGTTTCTTCTCACTTCATCTGTTGATTTGACCTCGAGACGCATTCCTCACTCCTCCCTAGTTCCGCAGCCGGCCTGCCTTATCAGAGACTATCAATTGCCTTTCGCCTCCCTCCTCAGAAATATGGAACAGAATATGAAGTTTCTACTCTCAGTAACTTTCCATATTCCTAGTTCCCATCTACCCTTCATTGACCCCAACATATACATTCCTTATACATGTAAAGTAATTAATGAGTTCTAGTATGGTAACATGAATCAGTACATTTCAAGCTAGAATCTAACACTGTCCATTTCGAATGTGCTGAACGAATAGGTCTACCTCGTCGCAGCTCATTTGCTTGCACTTGCTTATACTGAGAGCTAAGTGTTACAGTTTTTCTCGATTGCTAAGACATTTCTTGAAAGCTGCTCTCCTTTTCTCTTAACTGTGAACACAAAACCCAATTTTCAAGCTACATTCACAAAACCTCTGACTCTTCTTGCAAAACCAAACTTTCATCTCAGAACAGTTCAATCTGTGCTCAAAACTGAACTATGTTGTCAAATCGTGCCCCGAGTCAATCAAAATAAAAAACACTACTGAACAGTCACTAAACACTACGTAGAAAAATAGAAAACACAATGCTCAGGACATGAAGCTGGAGAAATAAATGTTTATTGTTCACTGTAGGCTAAATGCATGTTGCAAAACAAAAAAAAAACTGTGCATTTAGCACTTGTACAAAAAGACAAAACAGAAATCTTGTGCATTTACATGTAGCACTTGTAAAAACAAACAGAAATCTTATGCGTTTGCCACTTGTGTACAGTAAGCCCATGTAAAAATAAAGTACAAAAATATACAAATAAGTGCATTACTCAGCCACAGCATCATGTCTCCGTACTGGGTCAGGCCACAGGACTTCATCCACATCACAGGCCACATTTTGTCTGGCCAGGCAACGGGGGAAAAAAACCCTGGCATGCCGTTTCCAGGCTTGGCATGCCTCCACACCTATGTCACCACAGGCAAGTCCCATGGCTTGCAGGAGATTTACCCTGGTGTAAGGTTGGCGTTCATATACCTTCCACCGCCATGAGGAGAATAATTCCTCAATGGGGTTTAGGAAAGGGGAGTATGGTGGAAGGCAAAGATTGATAAAACCTTGGTTCATATTGTACCACTCTCTAACCTGGAGGGCTCTGTGAAAACTCACATTGTCCCAAACAACAACATAGATGGGATGCTCATCCTGCTGCCCTAACAAAGCATCTCGCATGTGATTGAGGAAAATGAGGAGCTGGTGAGTGTTGTAGGGCCCCAGGTTGGCATGATGGTGGACAACCCCATGATTGCTGATGGCAGCACATAATGTGACATTGCCACCACGCTGCCCAGGAACACCAACAATGGCCCGATGGCCAATCACATTACGGCCTCTCCTTCTCCTTTTGGTGAGATTAAACCCAGCTTCATCCATGTAGATGTATTGATGGGGTCTTTCCATTGCATCCAGTTGAAAAACCCTCTGTAGAAATAGATATAGTTTTGTAAGTGATACGGAAAAAGTGATTTAGGCCACTACAGTAAATCACTACTTAGAGTAATCAACATTGAATGTGTCTGGATATATGCCAACCTGTACATACTGGAATCTTTGCTCTTTGACTCTGTCTGAGTTGCTATCAAAGGGCACTCTGTATAGCTGTTTCATGCGCAGTCTGTTGCGCTTGAGGACACGATCAACAGTAGAGAGGCTGACACTGTTGATACCCTCAAAATGTAAATGGTCCTCAATGATCTTCTGCTGAATTTCGCTCAGTTTAATGGCATTGTTCTCACGGACCATATCAACAATTAGGGTCTCTTGGTGTGGGGAGAACATACCTGTCCTCCCACCCCCATGTGGCAGTCTTTCAATTCTACAAAAAGAGAACATGGAGTTACAAAAAATATACATGGAATACTAGGCCTACAAACAGTTAGACCAACCCTCCATTACAATACTACAGTACATTGGTACAGTGATGTACTGAAACATATATTTACTTACAGTATACTGTGGTACAGTATATAGTATGTCATACAGTAATTGCTGTCAACATTTACATACTGTACTATAATGTCAAAAAAAGGTAATTACCTGTTCTCTTCTCTAAATCTTCGGATTATGGTGGACACAGTGAATCTACTGATGTTTGGTTGTACCCTTTGTCCAGCCTCCCTCATACCATAGACAAGAACATGGTCAATCACAGTAGCTCTGATTTCATCAGATATTACTGTTCTTTGTCTTCGCTGACCACCTCGACCTCCTCTCACACGAACTCTTCCTCTCAGATTTCTATCCATTGTAGGGCCTTACAAACCAGTGCTCTCTGAACTGGCTTACTGTATATGTTCCCTCACATAATTAGCCACAAGTGTGATCAATTTTGAGTTGTTATGTTCAAGTGGTGACACCTGTGCTCTAATTGTGTTTGACTTTTGTCACCTGTGCTCACCATTATGCAGCACGGGTGCATCACAATGAAAATGTGTTGGCAAGTTATGTCTAAACAGGTGAAAAGTGCTTATGGTTTTGCCAAAAGAGTGATTGATTCAATCAGTGGGTTCAGGCAACTGAGCATTTGGTTCAGACAATAGGGTTTAGTGTTTTAGCAATTGAGAAAAACTGTAATGATATAAGAACAAACATTATGAATTTACTGAACATAAATGTTATCATGTTTGTGTATGGTTCAAAAGTCAAAAATCATGTCGGCATTCAATTATTATTGAAGGAGAATGTGGTTCTTATCGAGTTACACAAATTCACAAGGAGTCAGCAGAAACCATATTTATTTAAGAAAGTCAGCCATATCAGCTATGGTTTTTAAAAAGGCTATAACTGAGGCTGAATGAACTGTTTGGCTGCCAGACAAGGCTCCGCTGATAGCCTAGTATAGCAGTGGTAAGGATTCACTCCATGGTGCTGAAAGGAATGCTCAACTGTCGGGACCGCTTTATGTAGGCCCTAACAATTTGTGGGCACCGTTTGTCACCGTTATTCATAGCGCTTTTAATGTATTGTTTAGTGTTGTGTAGTGGCTTCGCTGGCATGCATCTAAATAAATTGGTTGAGTTTGCTCCACAAAGATTGACATGCTAAAATCGCCACTACCTGCACATCTAGAGTCAAAGTCAAGATTTTGGTGTGTGTGTGTGTGTCGCTGAAAACATATTGTACCAAAAAAAGGTGGTCTTACCTTGCATTGTCGCCTGTGGTTCCTCAGAGATGGGTTGAGGTCCTTGTCAGAGAAGCGTGCTGGCAGTAGAGGACACAGTGGAGCAGCTGAACTCTGAGAGAAGAGAAAAAGACCCCACAACTCAGGTAATACTATATATCATCATCATCATTATCAACTGTTGGACAAAAGACCAAGTGTAGGTTAGCTCTATCCCACAAATTCAATGTCGGTTTAGAGGTATCAGATGTAACTTTTCAAACGAGAAAGGCAACTAGATAAACACCTTTCCCCTTGATTGAGTAGCATTAGCTTAGCTTACCGAAACAGGTGAGCCCAAACCACCTGACCTTGCTACAGTAATTTCATCACTATGTAGGATATTGGGTACTAAGTAAAAGTCACATTTTGGATTCCCAACAGGCTTGATCTAAATTCCCACAAACAAAACTTCCCCTCTAATGCCCTCCCAATCACAAATAAATCTGGAAAACGTGTCACCCTCGTTTTATGTAATCACTTCCTGTTTGAGATATAATCACTTTATGATTGAAATGCTTGATCATCTTACTAATGAATTCTCCTGACAAATAACTTTTCTGTCGTGTGAACATTTTGGGTCACCTTGAAATACAGAGAAAGTAGGCTGCAGTCCCTCGAACTTGAACATTACAGCCGCAAATATTTCTTTGATTCTTCAAAGTTGCCACCCCTTGCCTTGATGACAGCTTTGCACACTCTTGTCATTCTCTCAACCAGCTTCACCTGGAATGCTTTTCCAACAGTCCTGAAGGAGTTCCCACATATGCTGAGCACTTTTTGGCTGCTTTTCCTTCACTCTGCGGTCCAACTCATCACAAACCATCTCATTTGGGTTGAGGTCGGGTGATTGTGGAGGCCAGGTCATCTGATGCAGCACTCCATCACTCTCCTTCTTGGTCAAATAGCCCTTACACAGCCTGGAGGTGTGTTGGGTTATTGTCCTGTTGAAAAACAAATGATAGCGTCACCAAGCGTTAACAAGATGGGATGGCGTATTGCTGAAGAATGCTGTGGTAGCCATGCTGGTTAAGTGTGCCTTGAATTCTAAATAAATCACAGACAGTGTCACCAGCATGCTTCATGGTGGGAATCACACATGTGGAGCTCACCTACTCTGCGTCTCACAAAGACACGGCGGTTGGAACCAAAAATCTAAAATTGGACTCATCAGACCAAAGGACAGATTTCCACCGGTCTAATGTCCATTGCTCGTGTTTCTTGGCCCAAGCAAGTCTCTTCTTCTTATTCGTGTCCTTTAGTAGTGGTTTCTTTGCAGAAATTTGACCATGAAGCCCTGATTCACGCAGTCTCCTCTGAACAGTATATGTTGAGATGTGTCTGTTACTTCAACTCTGTGAAGCATTTATTTGGGCTGCAATTTCTGAGGCTGTTAACTTTAATGAACTTATCCTCTGCAGCAGAGGTAACTCTGGGTCTTCCTTTCCTGTGGCGGTCCTCATGAGAGCCAGTTTCATCATAGCGCTTGATGGTTTTTGCGACTGCACTTGAAGAAACTTTCAAAGTTCTTGAAATGTTCCGTATTGACTGACCTTCATGTCTTAAAGTAATGATGGACTGTTGTTTCTCTTTGCTTATTTGAGCTGTTCTGGGACTTGGTATTTTACCAAATAGGGCTGTGTTTGTAGATCGACTGAGGTGAATGAAGTTACAGCAACAAATGTGATAATGGCTGAGGTAATTTTTGCTTGTTCTCCAAATAGCTTTTTAGAGTTTTTAAATTGTATAGAAATGCAGTAAATGAGCTTCAACTTCCCGCTCGGACCTCACTAAAACTCAGAACCTCACTAAAACTCAGACCCTGGCTATGGCCCTGATAGATCTACTTCGGTAGGATCATTTATTTTCATTCACGTAATGTATTATCAGTAAGCCTATCACATTAATTTACCATTCTCATTCTTGGAGTGGACATGTTTGCAGAGCTCACAAATGTGAGAAATACTTTTGAAATATTTCATTTCATTTAAATTTCCAGTTTAGTTTGGAGCGCTCCATGTTTGCATGTGTCTGGTTTCTCCATCCCACCAAAATGTTGAGTGAGCGCGCATAGAAATACATAGCCTGCGCGTCACGTTTGGGTCATTACTGTGAGTTGAGATACAATTAGGAAAAGTGATCAATTTGTGAACAGTAATTAAATATCATGATTTGATCTGATTTAGACAAATTTACCAATGTAATGAATAATATGGAAGTTGCCTTTTATGTAGAGTCATGTTGAACATTAGGCCTAACCGTGGTTTTCACTAGAAAGATTGGGGATGTATGAATGTAACTCATTAAACTTTTTATTTCACTATCAATCATCTCTGATTGTTCTTTTGTTTATGCAGGGGGTGAACTTCGAGACCTGGAATCCAAACTATGAGCCGGACAGCCACCAGCAGGACATGGTGAGTGTTATTGTTAGCAGGAGAGACCAGAGGCCTCATGCCCATGGAAACTGATGGTGTACCCAGTGGCATGTCCAGAACATTTTGAATAGGGTGGCCAAGGTGGGTCACAAACCCAGTTTAGGGGGGCAATAACATTTTGAACCTTAATCAATGCAAGTGGATTTATTTTATATAATGATGATGGTTCAACGCATTAAATGCTTCAGCTTCGTCTACTCCAAAATAAGTCCAGTATCCGAACAGTGCACTGTGCACCCACCATTTGAATGGAAAGGGACATCTATTAAAAACACAATGATTGTAATGACATTCAGCTTACAAAGTGGCGTGTATTCATGTGTGCTTCCCAAAAAAAATTAACAATAAAGAAAGAAACAAACTTATAAAATGATTTCTCATTCATGTCTATCTGTGTTTCATAATTTTCCTTCAGTTCACAAGAGGCTGAATCTATTTCACCAGAGAAACCATCCGAGCGAGGCAACAGCGCCCCTCTGTCTTAAAGCCGATTTATGCTGTCCGGAGGCTCTGTATGGAGGGAGGGTGTGACACAATTGTGGAGCCCATGAAGGCCAAATCAAGCTTGGTACGGCGATGCCGTGCGCCTCCCAAATGTTGTAACAATGCGGAGGGCTCCGTATAGCTCCGCATTGACATGATTGGTTGATGGTAGGCGGGGGCGGTACATCCTGTATAAACACAAACTCACTTCCTTGGAACTTAACAACAGACATGGAGAACTTTGACGAAAGGCTATCAGAACAAGTTTGCAAATATAAACAACTTTATGATACCTCGTGTAGGGATTTCAAAGAAACAAAAAGTTTGAACTCCTGGAAAGAGATTGGGGAGTTAATCGGGATGGAAGGGGAAGCTTGCCACAAGAAGTGGAGGTAGTTGATTGATTGATTTTATTTGACAATTTAAAATATACTGAACAAAAATATAAATGCAACATGCAACAATGATTTTACTGAGTTACAGTTCATATAAGGAAATCAGTCAATTGAAATAAATTGATTTGACCCTAAGCTATGGATTTTACATGACTGTGCAGGGACGCATAGGCCCACCCACTTGAGAGCCAGGCACACCCAGTGGGGAGCCAGGCCCAGCCAATCAGAATTAGTTTTTCCCCACAAAAGGGCTTTATTACAGACAGAAATATTCCTCAGTTTCATCAGCTGTCCGGGTGGCTGGTCTCAGACAATCCCGCAGGTGAAGAAGCCGGATGTGGAGATCCTGGGCTGACGTGGTTACACGTGGTCTGCGGTTGTGAGGCCGGTTGGATGTACTGCCAAATTCTCTAAAACGATGTTCAATTCTCTAGCAACAGCTCTGGTGGACATTTCTGCAGTCAGCATGTCAATTGCATGCTCCCTCAAAACTTGAGACATCTGTGGCATTGTGTTGTGTGAGAAAAGTGCACATTCTAGAGTGGCCTTTTGTTGTCCCCATCACAAGGTGCACCTGTGTAATGATCATGCTGTTTAATCAGCTTCTTGATATGCCACACCTGTCAGGTGGATGGATTATCTTTGCAAAGGAGAAATGCTCACTAACACAGATGTAAACACATTTGTGCACAACATTCTTGAGAAATATGCTTTTTGTGCATCTGGAACATTTCTGGGATCTTTTATTTCAGCTTTTGAAACATGGGACCAACACTTTAAATGTTGCGTTTATATTTTTGTTCAGTATACATAAGGAAGCCACATCAGGCAACCAAGATTGTAACAAAATTACAGAGAATTATATACACGAAAGGTCAAAGACTTGTTTCTATTGTGGTCCTCTGTGGTGATGGGATGGACGGAGTCAGGCGCAGGAGTGTGTAGAAGGAATATGCTTTATTCAGCCCAATAAGGTAGTCCGCAGCAATGCGTAAACACAATCTCAGTGCGACTTAAATGCATACTGGGAACCAAACATACATGGGTAAATATTCCCAGTGATAAAATAACAAAGATGCTCAACCGATCTAGCGATACCTCCACAATAAACAATCACACACAAAGACATGGAGTGCAGAGGGAACACTTATACAGGTACTGATGAGGGGATATGAACCTGGTGTGAAGAAAAACAAGACAAAACAAATGGAATGATGAGATGAGGAGCGGCAGTGGCTAGAAGGCCGGTGATGACGAACGCCGAAGCCTGCCCGAACAAGGAGAGGAGGCAGCTTCGGAGGAAGTCGTGACATCCTCTATTGGTAGGCTAGTGGCACTCAGTGCCATATATTCAATCATACACAATGTCCACATATTTAGATATATACAGTATAAAAAAAAGAAAATATACACATCTAACAAACCAGTCCACTACTGCACAGTGGCTTTGCACTTGGTTGGGAGGCTATCTCCAGGCTTGCAACAGTGTTTGAACCTAAGACTGGCAGAAACTCAGCCGGGAGTTTGTTTTATTCTACCATTGCCATATAGAAAAACGTATTCTGGCCAGTACCGCTCTTGAATCGACATGGCACATAATCTGTGGCACTGTCTCTCGTGGCATAGGAATGAGAGTCCCTAAGAGTAGCAAGATATAAAAAAAAATAGATACTGGGGGACTGTACCATACACAATTTTATGGGCCAATCCCAGCTTCAGCTGAATGACTTTTTTATCAACTGATAGCCACTGTAGTTCACTGAGTTGAAGGGCCAACATGAGCCTGAGGGCTAAGATTCAGAATTACCCGTGACATTTTATTCTGAGCTGTCTGTAGCTTGTTCTTGATGAACTTAGGGGAGCTACTGTACCAGGTAGTGCACACATAGGCAAAGTGAGGCTGCACTAATACTGCTGCAAATGTTTTCAAGGTCTCTGTATCTAGAAATGTGGCTTTGCTGGCCAGAAATGTCACTTTCTGGTTGACCTTGGCAATTACTTTCTGTCTCATACTCTCACTTGTCAGGAACCTGTCTAGTTCACACCCTAAGTATTTAACACAGTTCTTGGCTATAACCACTGTGTCACCAACCATGACTCTAAAGCCTGGTGATCTACCTAGTCTAATCTCAAATAAAATTCACAAAATTTTCCCAAAAAGAAGACAGTTGTTGTCTGACAGCCGGTTACTGATACTCGTCAGTTCTGCACTAAGCTGGCTCTCAACCATACTCTTGTCTTTGTGAGAGACCAAAAGAGCTGAATCATCTGCATTTAAAAAAAAGTTGATAGGAACAAGCTGATTTCATATCATTGATACACACTTATTGTACAAAACATTAGGAACACTTTCCATGACATAGACTGACCAGGTGAATCCAGGTCAAAGCTATGATCCCTTATTGATGTCGCTTGTTAAATCCACTTCAACCAGTGTAGATGAAGGAAGGAGACAGGTTAAATAATGATTTTTAAGCCTTGAGACAATTGAGACATGGATTATGTGTGTGTCCCATTCAGAGGGTGAATGGGCAAGACAAAATATTTAAGTGCCTTTGAACGGGGTATGGTAGTAGGTGCCAGGCGCACCGGATTGAGTGTGTCAAGAACTGCAACGCTGCTGGATTTTTCTCGCTCAACAATTTCCTGTGTGTTTCAAGAATGGTCTACCACCCAAAAGACATCCAGCCAATCTGTGGGAAGCATTGGAGTGGCGCAGTGGTCTGGAGTGGCTAGCTGTGCCACTAGAGATCCTGGTTTGAATCCAGGCTCTGTCGTAGCCGGCCACGACCGGGAGACCCATGGGGCGGCGCACAATTGGCCCAGCGTTGTCCAGGGTAGGGGAGGGAATGGCTGGCAGGGATGTAGCTCAGTTGGTAGAGCATGGTGTTTACAATGCCAGGGTTGTGGGTTCAATTCCCACGGGGGGCCAGTATGATTTAAAAAAATAAATAATAATGTATGCACTCACTAACTGCAAGTCGCTCTGGATAAGAGCGGCTAAGTGACTAAAATGTAAATGTAACATGGGCCAGCATCCCTGTGGAATGCTTTGACACCTTGTAGAGTCCATTCCCTAATGAATTGAGGCTGTTCAAGGGCAAAAGGGGGTGGAACTCAATATTACAAAGGTGTTCCTAATGTTTGGTACACTCAGTGTATAACAGAGACCCTAAAACACTCCACAGCTGATTAATCTTTAGTTGAGGGACAAGTTCGTAAAGCTAAAATAAATGTAAGGGTTGAAGTAGAGATGCATGTGGGAAAACAGTGCCGTCTTTCTACTTCACGCTATCTTGGCTGAGCTCCTATGTCAAGCAACAGGATACCGACTCCAACATCTCAGAAGAGGTAAGGTCTTGTCTTTTAGTTTAGCCAGCTGCTTGTAATTAGCTGGCTGGCTATAGAGATTAGCCCTGAATCACTACGAGTGGTTCATTTTAAGTGGTGAATGCCCTGACTTCTGCGGAGGCTGCATCACCGTAAATACTGTATGGCCACTGCTCATGCTGGATTGACCATAAATCGGCTTTCAGTATCTGTAGCGTATGTATCTGATGCTGTCTGGCCAAAAATAATATGACATGTCATACTCTTTTTGGCCAGACAGCATCAGATACATGGGCTACACATACTAAGACAGAGGGGCACTGGTTCGCTGGCTCGGATGCTTTCTCCAGTGAGATTGAGGGGTCTTGCTGTCGGTGCACATCTTAGTCAAATGTATCAATATATTCAGAGACAACCTATTTCTGGGGGGGCTACAGGGGTGGCCAATCAGATTCAGGGGCACTCCACTGGGACCACCACCTTCAATTTGATCAATTTTCAGTATTTAAATCAGTTGTGGAAAGAGTACCCAATTGTCATACTATAAAGATACCTTAATAGAAAATGACTCAAGTAAAAGTGAAAGTCATCCAGTAAAATGCTACTTGAGTAAAAGTCTAAAAGTATTTGGTTTTAAATATACTTAAGTATCAAAAGTAAATGTAATTGCTAAAATCTACTTAAGTATCAAAGTAAAAGAATAAATCATTTCAAATCCCTTATATTAAGCAAACCAGACGGGACCATTTTCTTGTTTTTTTTTAATTTACGGATAGCCAGGGGCATACTCCAACACTCAGACATCATTTACAAACGAAGCAATTGTATTTGTATTGTAGTATGTATATCAATGATGTCGCTGTGACTCTCAGATCCACCTCTACGCATTGGACACTGTGTTAACAAACCTCCAAACGAGCTTCAATGCCATACGACACTCCTTCCGTAGCCTCCAACTGCTCTTAAACGCTAGTAAAACTAAATGCATGCTCTTCAATCGAACGCTGCTTGCACCAGCCCGCCCGACTAGAATCACTACTCTCGGCGGGTCTGACTTAGGTGTCTGGTTAGACCCTAAACTCTCCTTCCAGACTCACATTAAGCATCTCCAATCCAAAGCTACATCTAGAATCGGCGTCCTATTTCGCAACAAAGCCTCCTTCACTCATGCTGCCAAACATGCCCTCGTAAAACGGACTATCCTACCGATCCTTGACTTCGGCGATGTCATTTACGAAATAGCCTCCAACACTCTACTCAGCAAATTGGATGTAGTCTATCACAGTGCCATCCATTTTGTCATCAAAGACCCATATACTACGCACCATTGTGACCTGTACGCTCTCGTTGGCTGGCCCTCACTACATATTCATCGCCAAACCCACTGGCTCCAGGTCATCTATAAATCACTGCTAGGCAAATCCCCGCCTTATCTTAGCTCATTGGTCACCATAGCAACACCCACCCGTAGTATGCGCTCCAGCAGGTATATCTCACTGGTCATCCCCAAAGCCAACACCTCCTTTGGCCGCCATTCCTACCAGTTCTCTGCTGCCAATGACTGGAACGAACTGCAAAAATCTCTGAAGCTGGAGACTCTTATCTCCCTCACTAACTTTAAGCATCAGTTGTCAGAGCAGCTTACCGATCTCTGCACCTGTACACAGCCCATCTGTAATTAACCCACCCAACTACCTCCTCTTCATATTGGTATTTATTTTGCTCATTTGCACCCCAGTATCTCTATTTGCACATCATCTTCTGCACATCTATCACTCCAGTGTTAATACTAAATTGTAATTATTTTGCACTATGGCCTATTTATTGCCTTACCTCCATAACTTACTACATTTGCCCACACTGTATATAGATTTTCTATTGTGTTATTGACTGTACGTTTTGTTTATTCCATATGTAACTCTGTGTTGTTGTTGTTTTTATCTCACTGCTTTGCTTTATCTTGGCCAGGTCACAGTTGTAAATGAGAACTTGTTCTCAACTGGCTAACCTGGTTAAATAAAGGTGAAATAAAACAATAAAATAAAAATAAATGTGGTGAGTCCATCAGATCAGAGGCAGTAGAGCTGGCCAGGGATGTTCTCTTGATAAGTGCGTGCATTGGACCATTTTTCTGTCCTGCTAAGCATTCAAAATGTAACTAGTAATTTTGGGTGTCAGGGAAAATGTATGGAGTTAAAACTGTAGACCTCCACAAGTCTGGTTCATCCTTGGGAGCAATTTCCAAACGCCTGAAGGTACCACGTTCATCTGTACAAACAATAGTACGCAAGTATAAACACCATGGGACCACGCAGGCGTAATACCGCTCATGAAGGAGACGCGTTCATTCTCCTAGAGATGAACATACTTTGGTGCCAAAAGTGCAAATCAATCCAAGAACAACAGCAAAGGACCTTGTGAAGATGCTGGAGGAAACAGGTACAAAAGTATCTATATCCACAGTAAAACGAGTCCTATATCGACATAACCTGAAAGGCCGCTCAGCAAGGAAGAAACCACTAGTCCAAAACCGCCATAAAAAAGCCAGACTACGGTTTGCAACTGCACATGGGGACAAAGATCGTACTTTTTGGAGAAATGTCCTCTGGTCTGATGAAACAAAAATAGAACTGTTTGGCCATAATGACCATCGTTATGCAAGCCGAAGAACACCATCCCAACTGTGAAGCACGGGGTGGCAGCATCATGCTGTGGGGGTGCTTTGCTGCAGGAGGGACTGGTGCACTACACAAATTAGATGGCATCATAAGGAAGGAAAATTATGTGGATATATTGAAGCAAGATCTCAAGACATCAGTCAGGAAGTTAAAGCTTGGTCGCAAATGGGTCTTCGAAATGGACAATGACCACAAGCATACTTCCAAAGTTGTGGCAAAATGGCTTAAGGACAACAAAGTCAAGGTATTGGAGTGGCCATCACAAAGCCCTGACCTCAATCCTATAGAACATTTGTGGGCAGAACTGAAAAAGTGTGTGCAAGCAAGGAGGCCTACAAACCTGACTCAGTTACACCAGCTCTGTCAGGAGGAATGGGCCAAAATTCACCCAACTTATTGTGGGAAGCTTGTGGAAGGCTACCCAAAACATTTGACCCAAGTTAAACAATTTAAAGGCAATGCTACCAAATACTAATTGAGTTTATGTAAACTTCTGACCCACTGGGAATGTGATGAAATAAATAAAAGCTGAAATAAATAATTCTCTCTACTATTATTCTGACATTTCACATTCTTCAAATAAAGTGGTGATCCTAACGGACCTAAAACAGGGAATTTTTACTAGGATTAAATGTCAGGAATTGTGAAAAACTGAGTTAAAATGTATTTGCTAAGGTGTATGTAAACTTCCGACTTCAACTGTATTTGATACAATCACACCAATTGCGCTCCAGCCATTACCACGAGCCTGTTCTCCCCAATTAAGGTGCCACCAACCTCCTGTGCTGGGCAGGCACCATGTGGTATAGTTAGGCCTACCGGTCTGCTGGCCAGATTTGGCAGGGTAGTAGGGGTAAGGAAGAGGAAGAGGTAAAAGTAGGCCATGAACTAAGCATAAGAGAGGTCAGGTGTGTGTCTGTGGCGGCAGCCATATCACAGCCACTCGTCCACTTTCATCTCCTTGCTGACTCTACAACCAGTGCAAAACTAAAGGCAAATATAACAATACGGTAAAAACATGGCATGTGAAGTTTTCACTTGACAACTTGAGAGTACTAGGCATTACATAATGCACACTGATATTATGGAGACTGAAAGCCTACCCATATTATTCTGCTGCAGACTGGGGATGCGGAGGCTGACATGTCTGAATCTAAGGGAACACTGAAGAGGTTCCAGAGGCTAGTGAGAGTGAAGAAGGGAAGCCAGATGGGACTAAATGATGGAAAGACTGACATCAAAGGTGAGTTCTCATGGATGCACCTCGGCTCTAAAGGTGAAGACAGAGCTGCCTGCCTGCTTGATACAGAACAGATCCTATGAATACAAAACCTCTAAAATTATAGTGTTAAAAAATTATCGTCCCCCAAGGCCTTAATCAGAACCTATGAATGAATAGGCCTACAAAGCCCTTTATTTCTCTTCTTGTCCAGGTCACTTGGCAGACTCTGTGTTCAGTAATGACAGTCCCGTCATCACCTGCATTGGGCTGGGGAAGAAGACAGAGAAGAAGACCTCTAAGGCTGCTCAAATATCACCGCAGAAGCAGCAGACTAAGGAGACCAATGGGAAAGCTGGGGAAGGACCTTGGAGCACTGGGGTTCACGACCCCCACTGGGGCCCCACAGAAGTCCCTCCACCCTGGGACGTCCCCTACCACACCTGCCACCGGCCCCCAGGCGAGCCCTGGAACTATGGCTTCGACTTCACCCTGCCCCGAGCAACAGCCTGGGACCGATTTGAGAATCAGACAGACGCCCCCAGAGATCTTGCTACAATGGGTAATCTGCTCAATCACAGATCTGGACATCTCAGAATCCACGGTAAGATACAGTTCACTTAAAGTGGTGTGTCCCAACACCGGTCCTTGAGTACCCTCAACAGTACATACAACACTATAGTCGTGGTCAAAAGTTTTGAGAATGACACAAGTATTGGTCTTCACAAAGTTCGCTGCTTCAATGTTATGAGATATTTTTGTCAGATGCTACTATGTTATACTGAAGTATAATTACAAGCATTCCATAAGTGTCAAAGGCTTTTATTGACAATTACATTTAGTTTATGCAAAGAGTCAATATTTGCAGTGTTGACCCTTCTTTTTCAAGACCTCAGCAATCCGCCCTGGCATGCTGTCAATTAACTTCTGGGCCACATCCTGACTGATGGCAGCCCATTCTTGCATAATCAATGCTTGGAGTTTGTCAGAATTTGTGGGTTTTTGTTTGTCCACCCGCCTCTTGAGGATCGACCACAAGTTCTCAATGGGATTAAGGTCTGGGGAGTTTCCTGGCCATGGACCCAAAATGTCGATGTTTTGTTCCCCGAGCCACTTAGTTATCACTTTTGCCTTATGGCAAGGTGCTCCATCATGCTGGAAAAGGCATTGGTCGTCACCAAACTGTTCTTGGATGGTTGGGAGAAGTTGCTCTCGGAGGATGTGTTGGTACCATTCTTTATTCATGGCTGTGTTCTTAGGCAAAATTGTGAGTGAGCCCACTCCCTTGGCTGAGAAGCAACCCCACACATGAATGGTCTCAGGATGCTTTACTGTTGGCATGACACAGGACTGATGGTAGCGCTCACCTTGTCTTCTCCGGACAATATGTTTTCCGGATGCCCCAATGAATTGGAAAGGGTTTTCATCAGAGAAAATGACTTTACCCCAGTCCTCAGCAGTCCAATCCCTGTACCTTTTGCAGTATATCAGTCTGTCCCTGATGTTTTTCCTGGAGAGAAGTGGCTTTCTTTGCTGCCCTTCTTGACACCAGGCCATCCTCCAAAAGACTTCGCCTCACTGTGCGTGCAGATGCACTCACACCTGCCTGCTGCCATTCCTGAGCAAGCTCTGCACTGGTGGTGCCCTGGTCCCGCAGCTGAATCAACTTTAGGAGACGGTCCTGGCGCTTGCTGGACTTTCTTGGGCGCCCTGACGCCTTCTTCACAACAATTGAACTTGTCTCCTTGAAGTTCTTGATGATCTGAAAAATGGTTGATTTAGGTGCAATCTTACTAGCAGCAATATCCTTGCCTGTGAAGCCCTTTTTGTGCAAAGCAATGATGACGGCACGTATTTCCTTGCAGGTAACCATGGTTAACAGAGGAAGAACAATGATTTCACCCTCCTTTTAAAACTTCCAGTCTGTTATTCTAACTCAATCAGCATGACAGAGTGATCTCCAGCCTTGTCCTCGTCAACACTCTCACCTGTGTTAACAAGAGAATCACTGACATGATGGCAGCTGGTCCTTTTGTGGCAGGGCTGAAATGCAGTGGAAATGTTTTTGGGGGATTAAGTTCATTTTCATGGCAAAGAGGGACTTTGCAATTAATTGCAATTCATTACATTTACATTTACATTTACGTCATTTAGCAGACGCTCTTATTCAGAGCGACTTACAAATTGGTGCATTCACCTTATAGCCAGTGGGATAACCACTTTACAATATGTTATTATTTTTTTTTAATTATTTTTTTGGGGGGGGGGTAGAAGGATTACTTTATCCTATCCCAGGTATTCCTTAAAGAGGTGGGGTGTCTCCGGAAGGTGGTGAGCGACTCCGCTGTCCTGGCGTCGTGAGGGAGCTTGTTCCACCATTGTGGTGCCAGAGCAGTGAACAGTTTTGACTGGGCGGAGCATGAACTGTGCTTCCGCAGAGGTAGGGGGGCCAGCAGGCCAGAGGTGGATGAACGCAATGCCCTCGTTTGGGTGTAGGGACTGATCAGAGCCTGAAGGTACGGAGGTGCCGTTCCCCTCACAGCTCCGTAGGCAAGCACCATGGTCTTGTAGCAGATGCGAGCTTCAACTGGAAGCCAGTGGAGTGTGCGGAGGAGCGGGGTGACGTGAGAGAACTTGGGAAGGTTGAACACCAGACGGGCTGCGGCATTCTGGATGAGTTGTAGGGGTTTAATGGCACAGGCAGGGAGCCCAGCCAACAGCGAGTTGTAGTAATCCAGACGGGAGATGACAAGTGCCTGGATTAGGACCTGTGCCGCTTCCTGTGTAAGGCAGGGTCGCACTCTCCGAATGTTGTAGAGCATGAACCTACAGGATCGGGTCACCGCCTTGATGTTAGCGGAGAACGACAGGGTGTTGTCCAGGGTCACGCCAAGGCTCTTTGCACTCTGGGAGGAGGACACAACGGAGTTGTCAACCGTGATGGCGAGATGATGGAACGGGCAGTCCTTCCCTGGGAGGAAGAGCAGCTCCGTCTTGCCGAGGTTCAGCTTGAGGTGGTGATCCGTCATCCACACTGATATGTCTGCCAGACATGCAGAGATGCGATTCGCCACCTGGTTATCAGAAGGGGGAAAGGTTAGTTGTGTGTCGTCTGCGTAGCAATGATAGGAGAGGCCATGTGAGGATATGACAGAGCCAAGTGACTTGGTGTATAGCGAGAATAGGAGAGGGCCTAGAACTGAGCCCTGGGGGACACCAGTGGTGAGAGCACGTGGTGCGGAGACAGATTCTCGCCACGCCACTTGGTAGGAGCGACCGGTCAGGTAGGACGCAATCCAAGAGTGAGCCGCGCCGGAGATGCCCAGCTCGGAGAGGGTGGAGAGGAGGATCTGATGGTTCACAGTATCAAAGGCAGCAGACAGGTCTAGAAGGACAAGAGCAGAGGAGAGAGAGTTAGCTTTAGCAGTGCAGAGAGCCTCCGTGACACAGAGAAGAGCAGTCTCAGTTGAATGACCAAGGAGGATTCAGCAGGGAGGAGAAGGTGGCAAAGAGCTTCTTCATCTGATCACTCTTCATGACATTCTGGAGTATATGCAAATTGCCATCATCAAAACTGAGGCAGCAGACTTTGTGAAAATTAGTATTTGTGTCATTCTCAAAACTTTTGACTACAACTGTACAAGCACATCTGATTCTACTTGTCAACTAATCATCAAGCCCTTTACAAGTTGAATCAGGTGTTTTTGTCCAGGGCTACAACAAAAATGTGTGCTGTAGAAGAAATCGAGGACCGGAGTTGGGAAACACCGACATAAAGGAGCCTACATACAGGTCTGATTAGGGTTGCACAATTCCTGGAACTTTCAATAACTTCCCTGGTTTTCCCAAAATCCCAGTTGGAGGATTCCCGGAATCAGGAGGGAATAAGCAGGAAATCCGCAAACCTCCAACCAGGATTTCTTGAAAACCAGGGAATTTATTCAAAGTTCCCAGAATTTTGCAACCCTAGAACTGATAGAGATACTGTGGGACGCTGTGGAACTTGTGTGTCCTGATAAATTATTGCTTTGTAGGACACACTTAACCCTGCCAAATAAATTGATATCCATTTTTATCAAGCATTATGATTTCTATAAAAAAGAATTGCTGTAATTGAACACTACACAGGGAAAATTGTTATAAAGGCAAACTTACACTCACAGGCATGTTTATTAGGTACACCCATCTAGTACCGGGTCGGACCCTCCTTTCCCTCCAGAACAGTCTGAATTCTTCAGGGGCATGGATTCTACAAGGTGTGGCGGTCAAAAGCTGATTAATTTATATCAAGGGACCTAACGTGTCCCAGGAAAACATTCCCCACACCATTACACCACCGCCACCAGCCTGTACCATTGACACCAGGCAGGATCGGGCCATGGACTAATGCTGCTTACGCCAAATCCTGACTCAGGAACTGGGATTCGTTGGACCAGGTGATGTTTTTCCCCTCCTCAATTGTCCAATGTTGGTGATTATGTGCCCACTGGAGCCGCTTCTTCTTGTTTTTAGCTGATAGGATTGGAACCCGGTGTGGTCGTCTGCTGCAATAGCCCATCCGTGACAAGGACTGACGAGTTGTGCGTTCTGAGTTGCCATTCTGCACTCCACTGTTGTACTGCACCGTTATTTCCTGTTTGTGGCCCGCCTGTTAGCTTGCACAATTTTTTCCATTCTCCTTCGACCTCTCTCATCAATGAGCTGTTTTTGCCCACAGGACTTGTTTGTCGCACCATTCTCCGTAAACCCTAGACACTGTCGTGCGTAAAACGCCCAAGATGCCGTCTGTTTCATACCACGCTCAAAGTCGCTTAGGTCACTCGTTTTGCCCATTCTAACATTCAATCGAACAGTATCTGAATGCCTCGATGCCTGTCTGCCTGCTTTATATAGCAAGCTACGGCCACGTGACTCACTGTCTGTAGGAGCGAACCACTTTTGTGAACGGGGTGGTGTACCTAATAAACTATATTTTGTATTAATTTAAAAATTATTTAACTTAGTGAGGTAATAGAGTGGAAACTGCAATATACAGGCTATGTGCTGTTCACCCCTTCCTGTGCTCACCAGTCGCTTGGCCTCATCAGTAGTTTACTAGTTACAGTGAGTTGCATTTAACTTGGTGCATTGTTAAAAAGTCTCATGTAGGCAACAGTTTGTGACATTGACTGAAAAGTCTTTCAACGTTCAAAAATGATTTTACCATACAACAACAATCCAGCAGTCATCAATGAGGCTTTCTTGGTGCACTGAGGATGCTTCAATTTCTGCAGCTTGTTGACGAGACTTTACATCTCCCACCTAAAAGTACAACACATTCATGCCTTTGATTACAGACTGTGTAGATATAGTCACATCCTGCCTGCCTTAGAGGAAATGTACCTGCTCTGCTCTGCACAACTGTTGCGGTATAGTAGGTTGTTGTTATGATGATTGGTCTAATAGGCTATAGCACAGTTGTTTTTTGTCCTAAATAAAAAACTGTCCAGCAGTAATTCAGATTCAGCACTATGCTTCAGAGGAAACCGTCAAATGTCTCAAACAAAGACCCAAAGAGCAAGACAAAACCAAAGGTGAGATCTTTTAAATGTCAGGTTTTTTGGGGGTAAAATCTGCTTTTCTATTTGCTGCTATCCAATGTAATAACAAAAAGCAACATTTTATACACTACCGGTCAAAAGTTTTAGAACACCTACTCATTCAAGGGTTTTTATTTTATTTTTACTATTTTCTACATTGTAGGATAATAGTGAAGACATCAAAATGATTAAATAGCACATATGGAATCATGTAGTAACCAAAAAAATTTAAACAAATCAAATATATTTCATATTTGAGATTCTTCAAATAGCCACCCTTTGCCTTGATGACAGCTTTGCACACTCTTGGCATTCTCTCAACCTGTTTGGTTACTACATGATTCCATATGTGTTATTTCATACAATGTAGAAAATAGTACAAATAAAGAAAAACCCTTGAATGAGTAGATGTTCTAAAACGTTTGACCGGTAGTGTATGTCTTTAACTGGTTGGGCATTTTGTTTGACATTTTTAAAACTGCGTGTATTACAATAAATTGAAATGTTCTAAAGCATATTTCCAAACATTGGGCTGTATTATGCACATAACTCAGGATATTAAAGGTGAAGATTCACTCAAAAGATTTGAGCATAGTGCTGATGAGTAGAGGGAGTTTTAGGAAGATCAGGAGGACTAGAATGTGCTAGAACAGTTGTTACCCCCACGCATCACGTCTATTTCTATGGGCACAAGCACTGTCCATGACACAAACTGTTCACACCCCTTTTGTTGGCGGAGAGATAATTTTACAGGTTTAAAGCTTATTTCCTGCAATTCTATCAATTTTGCCATGGGCTGATATTTGTTTTTGCAATGTTCTGCAATTCTCCACATTTTGCCATGGGGTGGAGAGAACATTTTGCAGTTTTAAAGCTAATTTCCTACAATTCTACACATTTTGCCATTTCTTATTAGTGTTCTGTGTGACTCAAACATTACAACAAAATCAATGGGCAAAAAAACCTAGCTAAAAAACATTAACTGACATGGGATAGTTGATCTGGACATTTCTGATGTTACAAATAGATCTCCAAGGTCTGCAATGACTGACATGACAAGAAGAAAACAGCTGATGCACTACCCAATTTTAGCCAAACTTTCTTTTTTTGTGTGGGGGGAGGGGGGATTCCGCGCACCACTGCCGACCCCTCGTGCCTCCCCTAAGGTGCTCGCCCCACAGTTTGGGAACCACTCTGCTAGAATAATAAAATGCATAACAATAACAATATTATACATAACACGAATACAACACTGAACAAATAAAGTAGCAAAATAATAACATAAAATACTATAATATTCAATGTATTCATTGGGATTTAGCATAAGAGATACATTTACATGACATCAATTTATGGAAAATGGCCAACCATAACTGATACAAACCTCATTAGCTGCAGTGAAGCTGAGCACAACTCAGCACTCACCCATTACCATACAGTAATACTCATAATGCTCATGATATCAGAGTCCAAACTGAATCTGCAGTTACATCATCAAATCCAATCCTAAACAAATACAACATTAGATACAATTCAGTACAAAAAAGATCAAGAAAAATCTCAATCCAGTGGATAAAATGCCGTAATAGAGCCTGGTGGTAATACAGACAGTACTATGTAAATACATGACCAGAGGAACAGCAGATTAGATGGTTTACAGGGTATAGGCCTACAGACATGACTGCTCTGAGTTCTACATAAACACTGCAGCCAGACAACATGTGTCCTGCTGTTACCATCCAAAACACATTTTAATCCGTTAATCTCCCATCTCACCCAGCGCTCCACTAGCTTTGGCCGATTTGACACCTTCAGACACCAACCAGCCCCAGTGAAGCCAGAGGAAAATGGCAATTCTTTGGTACGTGAAGCATCTGTCTGATTTTGTTAGCTACTTCAACCAGTAATTCCTTATAAGTGACACTGTAAACTTTCTTAATTGTTTCAACATTAGTTTTCAACATTTGTTGAAATATTTTTTTTAATTCAAATTAAATTGATTAATGTTTCAAGTCAGCAGGGCTGACTCAAGATTTTTTAAACACTTCTAACTTTGGGCTTTGTATGCTGCTGTATCGTAGTTTAAGCATGTCAACCATGTAACAACATGTGTGTGTTAATATGTGTGTAGTTTGCAGAGGAAGAGCAGGTTGTCAGTGGTGACCAGACCAGATCAGGAGGTATAGGGAAGAAGATGAAGGCCATCTCACTTTTGATGAGGAAGAGAATGGGCAGGAATTATACCAAAGCCCTGTCAGAGGAAATGGTGAGTAAGCGGATCACGTTGTGTCATACAGATCAGGCCTCAACATTCAGTGTACCACAGACCTTGGATAAAAGCCAAAAGAGGGAAATTAAAGTTTAACGAAAAGAAAGCTGATGTCCAAATGCAGAGGTATGGGCTAGTATGTAGAAAATTAACAGTAACACCACACAAACTGTAGGAACAGACCCCCTGCGTAATAAGGATCAAGTCCATTCTTCTATGTAGCAAAATAATTGAGCAACACATGAATGAACAATAGAATCCCAACAGAACTGGAACCTTGGAAGTGTACAGAATGATAATACAGTGATAATACAATACAGTGATAATACAATACAGTGATGATACAGTGCATGGCTTCTCAGGAGGATCCTCAGGAGGATGACATGTAAGGAAAGGAGGATTATACTGTAAATTATGACGAACAAGCAGTGCGTGCGTGGGTAAAATCACTGGGGAAGCCAAGCCAGAAAAAGAAAGCCATATTACAACCTATGTGTTGTGATAATTGCGTTGTTTGCTCTATAACCTGTTAGTTCATATGCCTTGTGATTGTGATATATAGGTTTAAGGCCGAGACATTAAGAAGATACAGTGGCAGAATAAGTTCAACCACACCTTTTTTTCTTTACGAAACCGGAGAGCAACCTCTGTCCGGTGAAGTCCACAATGTCACGTTTGTTTTTAGAAGGATTTGACCAAGGTGCAGCGTGGTATGCGTACATAATCGTTTAATATATTAAACACTGACAAAACAACAAAAGCAACGTAACGTGCAGTTCAAAAGGCTAAACATACAACAAGCCAAACTGAAACAAGATCCCACAACTAAAGGTAGGCAAAATGGCTACCTAAGTATGATCCCCAATCAGAGACAACGATCGACAGCTGCCTCTGATTGGGAACCACACCCGGCCAACATAGAAATACATAACATAGAATTCACACCCTGACCGAACAAACTAGAGAAAACCGGGCTCTCAAGGTCAGGGCGTGACACACAAAGCATATTGCATGTATCAAACAGTTACATGACCTACAGCATGGTCAAGCAAGTTCATGTTTCCGACATTTTCGGACTACTAAACAACTATTGATTTAGAACCACAGAGAGTTACCGCAAGTTGCAAAGAAAACAGGAGCTGCCTCCACTATTCCAGCACCATTTCAACTTCAGCATCATCATATCACCTATGCTTAGTCTAATACAGTGACAACTAAAAGATACCTAAAAAGATTTAGTCCAATCAACTTAAGCTAAATATGATGTGGCTGTCCATGGTTTAGATTTCTCTGTGTGCGTGCGTTTGTGCAAGTAGAAAAAACATGTTGACTCACCCTACTTGTAGAGAAACGCCAATGCCATCCTCCTCTCTTTCATGTTGATAAAACGGTCTATGACTCTGTCATACAGTAAACGCTTTCATTTTTTGTTGTCCTAGGCTACCTGGCTAAAATGGATGCTCGCTAGCCTAACTTCCTTCCTTTCATGGGCAAAAATGTGCCAGGCCAGCTAGTTAACATTAGCCTACTACATCTAGCTACATATTTAACTTCCATCCTCTCAGGCCAGGGGCACAATGTATGCATTTATGGTTGGATCAGAATATAATCATTGGCCAGTACGGAGAATTAAGTAAAACCACAAGTCCAAATCCCTATCTCCATCCATGGCTAATTTAGGAAAGGGCCAATTTGTGCTAGTTAGCTAGCCACCAGATGACAACAACACAACAAGATGCAACAATTCAAGTTTTTTCCTGTCAATGACGTTTTGCTCTCGATGTGATGTGATTGGAGTGAAGCCAAATCTGGCTTCCCTTGACACTTTTTTTGGTGCACCAGGACCATTCACAGTTGAGCTCACTCAGTTTAACTCAAAGCTTATTGGCTATTATTTTATATATTTTTTGTATCAAGGGAGGCCAAATGCTCACTGGCTTCCCTTGCATTCAACGCTACGGGCGGCAAACAATGTCATACTCTTTTTGACCAGCATCAGATAGATGGCCTACACATACAGAGACAAGAGACAGAGGAGCACTGTTTCGCTTGATCTGATGCTTTCTCAGGTGAGATACATTCGACCTCTTGCGAATTGAAGGAAAAATATTTTTTCTTGGTAAATTTTTTGGGGAAGCCTGGCTTCCCTTGGCATCCATGAAAGATAATGAGACAAAGACTCATTACCACATCACCTGGTCACCAAGTTATTTGTGGAGCTAAAAATAAGCACCTCTTCTCTCACAGTGAGGACCAGGGAGGTACAGTCAGAGCCTATGGTGGATTACACACACCTCATGGCCATGTCAAGTCTCAGTTATAAATGGCAAGGTAGTTCTGTGTGGATTAAGGACTCTTGGCAGAAGAGAGGAGAGGAGCTCTTCTGTGCCCTTGCATAAACTGCCTGGGATACTGAGCCGCTTTGGCACATGAGAAATTAAACACGGAATAGCTTAGAGCCCTGCCCCGACCCAGCCCTCTGATTGGTTTAGCTTTCTCCTGTTCTTCCTCCTCAACCGCCACGCTGTGAGATGAGATGAGATGGGAAGTGACAGCATAAGGAGAAAAGGAGGGCAAAGAAAATGATAAAACGTGACCTGTTCTGTTGTTTTTTACTGTGTAGGCCGACGAGATGGAGAGAGATGAAGAAGGAGAAGGGGATATTGTTAATGGCATCCATTTATTTCCAAAAGGACACAGAAAGTCCAGTCACTCTCTGGAAAGTCTCTACATTCTCAACAGTGGACACAGCTCCTCCAGTAAGCTCCTTGGGCACACAGCCAACACCTTACTGAACTAATTAAGTTCCCTTTCACTCTTTACTAATGCAATTTTAGTTTACTCTGCGTTACAGTAAAGCATGTTACACATTGTGGTTGATAAAAATCAAGTGTGGATCCCAATCTACTAAGGCATGTTGTTGGACCTCGATTAACCCAACAAGGATGCCTGACAAACATAATCACAGTCAAAAGTCTAAACTGACAATATTTCACACACTGCCATAACTTTCATAACTTAATCTTCTAATCAGCAAGTAGGCTACCATTAGACCAGCATCAACCATCATGAATAGACATTCATCGCATCAAGGAGTTGAAAACTCCCTCAGTATGTAGCATGATGTACTACAGTACCCACAATGCTCTGTGTAAAACATTTGGCTTTGTGTTTGTAAATATTGTTGTGAAGCCAAACAACATGATGTCGGTCTCCTACCAATCAAACTGTGTTGTGTGCTGCTGCCCAGGTGGGGTGACCAGTGGGTCAGACGGCTCCAGTAACAGAGACAGTCTGAGGCTGGACGAGGAGCTGCCCTACACAGGCCAGTTCTGTGGCAGAGCCCGGGTCCACACAGACTTTGTCCCCAGTCCCTACGACACGGAATCACTTAAACTTAAGGTAATTAACCTACCTGACTAAACCAGTTGTATCCTGATTCCTGACTGACTGAAATATAGCTGTGAATGTAGAATAATATAACATATTATGATAAATTGTTATAGACTGCCTCTTTCTCAATTGTCAAACCTGTCATTCCGCACATCCTCCTGGATTTTTAAGCAGTTGAGATCGAGCCAATGTCTTGCAAAGTAGGTTATGTAGACCTAATAGTAAAAGGCCCAATTCTTCTTTCAGGTTGGGGATGTGATTGAGATCATCAACAAGCCTCCTATAGGTATATGGACAGGCATGCTGAACAACAAGGTGGGAAACTTTAAGTTCATCTACGTGGACCTCATAGTAGAGAAGGTTCCTGAACTGCCTCAGAAGATGAGGACACACAGGAGAAGCAGGAGAACCCGTCCCAAAACGCTACAGGAGCTCCTGGAGCGCCACAATTTGGAGGTAGACTGACTCTCTCTCTCTCTCTCTCTCTCTCTCTCTCTCTCTCTCTTCTCTCTCTCTCTCCTCAAACCTGTTACAGGTTCCCTGGATTCTTTGGAAAAAATCCCCAGATAAATTGCATCTTTAGGGAACAATATGTTTCTGATGTCAACACAGTGCTAATAGACTGGTTTTAGTTGTGTTTTTCGTTATAACATGGCGACTTGCTTACCGATTGGTATTGTTTATATGTATTGTAGGAGTATGCCTCTTCACTGCTCCTGAATGGCTATCAGACAGTAGATGACCTGAAAGAGCTGAAGGAGAAGTATCTGATGGAACTCAATGTGACTGATCCTGAACACAGACATCGTCTGATGGCAGCTATCGAGTGCCTCCAAGAACCCCAAAGTGAGTCAGGGTAGTCTTCCCCCTACTTACATTTCCAGGTGGAATGCAAAGGCACTCACCCAGGCCTTTTGGCATCAGAATTGACAATTGAAACCAATAGAAACCCAAACTCCTTTAGGTGAGGCACAACAGTGTTAGTTCTGACAAAAACGGAAGCATATATATTCAGATCTCCAAAGCAGATAAGGAAGGGTATACCGTCAGCGGATGTGCTGTATCAGGGCCGTGGTATTAGGGACCCAGGTAAATAAGCTAATGAAAACAGGATACCCTTACAAAAAAATAAAATAAAATAAACACATGAGGAAAAACCCATGTGGTTTTCAGACACGTGTGACCTTTCACATGGATTTTCACGTGAACAAATCACATGTGGTTTTCATACATGTGTGAAGTTCCACATTATCATTTTTCATGACTCAGATATGTGGTTTCCCTACATTTCATGTGATATTATAAGTCTCACATGTGTGCTTTAGTAACCAGCGGGGTTAGAACCCAGGTCTCTCACAAGTGAAGCCAACGCGTTGACCATTAGACCAAGAGGGTCAACACAAATGTTGAAGTCGCAGGCCGGGCTACCTCATCATGTGACCATGAGCAAAAGCATGTCATGTCTGTTACACTTTCACATGTTCCTTTTTTGTCATTTTAATGTCAATTTTTAACTAGGGCTGTCAAACAATATTTATTTTTTTAATCGAGTTTATTGCAGGATTTGCTGATTAATCATGATTAATTGCAAATTTAGAATGTTCTCATATTTAGCTGTAATTTAAGATTTTTTTGGTCCAAAGTAACGGTTAGCAAAATCAGGTTAATTGATAAACACACTTTCTTTAACCTCAATGTCAACTTGTTTTGAAATTGCATTGTTGTTTTTAGCTGTATAGATGATGTATTTTGGATGTTTTCAGTGTAATTTGAACGCTTTCAGATAATGTGATTAATCACAATAAAAAAATAATTGTGCACTAAAATTACAAAAAGTGAACTGATTAACCCACATTAACATGTTAAACAGGATAAATAAGGAGGCATCCGAGACGCCATACAAAAGTTAGCTAGTTAGCTACTTAGATTGGCTAAACTCATGTAAACTGTAAAAATCTCACTTTTCTTTTACACGGCAAAACTGTTCAATTATAAATACAAAATTACAGTTAAACATGTTATCTCTAGATTTTGAAAATGTAACCATGCATTGAAACCGTAAAACAGGATGAAAAAATGTGGAGACACAGAGAGCTAACTTATCTGTTCTTTTCATTGGGCTTCTTCCAATGGTCACTGACCAATGTATGAAGAAGAGAGGCGTGCGCCTGCAGCAGTAACAGTCCGAATGAATTTCTCAGAAAGAAGAAATAATTATTTTTAACGCACTTGAATTATTATACTCAGGTAGGCTAAGTAACTTTTTTATAGAATGGCATTACAGAATTTGTAAGGAGAATAACACTGTTTCACTGCCACATGTCAAAGTTCGATTTTCACATCTATGTTTCTTACATGTGAAACTGCAAATTAGAATTTCACATGTGAACGGTTTTCACATGTGAACTTGCAATTCCAGATGTGAAAGTGAGATTTTCACACATGAAGTTTTCTTACATGTAAAACTGCGAATTAGATGTTCACATGGGAAAATGCAATTCCACATGTGAAAGTTAGATTTTCACGTGTGAAAGTTTTTCACATGTGAAACTGCATATCTCACAGGTGAAAACATTATATTCTACTGACTTGAAAAGGTGGTGTTAACATTTGAAATGTAATACATGTGAACATATGGTTTTACATGAGAACAACTGACCTCACGTGTCAGCTCAACGTGAAAATGGCTATTTCTGCAAGTTTCACGTTGTTGTTTTTTTGTAAGGGTAACCACCACTTACAGCAGGGTCGTTCCATATGATTTCAATCACTTTCTGACTGCACCCCTTTTGATTTAAACAAAACCTTCCATACATGTTTTCTCATGGTAGAAGTAGTCAGAAAGGGACTTTTTGGAGCTGAATGCCAAAATATTTAGAAGATAGAGGTGCTCAAAGTTGACCCATTTTGCATACCCCTTCCCTGATGACTGAAACTAAATTATTCCACTGCTCTGTAGTTCGCTACATACTTCAGTCTGAGACTGCTATCATTGAAGTTGTTTGTGGTGATGTCAAAATGTGGGGTGTTGTACAAAACAATGTCATCAACGATTGGATCATCTCTAACCAATCATAGTATTTACATTTTACATTTTAGTCATTTAGCAGACGCTCTTATCCAGAGCGACTTACAGGAGCAATTAGGGTTAAGTGCCTTGCTCAAGGGCACATCGACAGATTTTTCACCTAGTTGGCTCGGGGATTAGAACCAGCGACCTTTCGGTTACTGGCACTACACTCTTAACCACTAAGCTACCTGCCGCTATACCCACCTGTGTTCTGGCTCTGGCCCAACCCATTGGCTCTGGCCCAACCCATTGGTTTCTGGGACCAATCAGATGGTCTAGAATACATTTCCATTCTAGAAATCGTCGGGGAGGTACTCAGATCCAGACTCATTGTGGAGAATAAACTATCGTCCGTGGATGTGGCATAGCATTTGGCCGGAGCAAGGAGTTTGCTCCTTGCCTTCATCATTGTGAAAAATAAATGGTTGAGTTTGATATAATTTGAAAGCTTACAAAACAAGGTTATCAAACTATTTTATGATTTATTGAAAAATATGTTTTTTAATAAATGAATAAAATAATGCTTTAACGTCAATTATCTAATATATATATATATTTTTTTCATAATATATGTTGTAGCTTAGATTTTATTTAATGCATTTATGTATGGAAGGTTTCGTTCAAATCAAAAGGGGTTTAGTCAGAAAGTGATTTAATTAATATAGAAGACCCAGTACAGAGAACAGTACAGGATAGTTACCACAAAGAGTTCAATAAAGTCACAGCAAGCAATTTAGGACAGTTACCACATACAGTTCAATACAGTCACAGCAAGCAATTCAGGACAGTTACCACACACAGTTCAATACAGTCTGTCACAAGGCTGATGTGGATGCGGTGTTGGAGTCAGGCGCAGGACACAGAAGCTTAGTTGATCCGACTTTTAATAGTCACCGGAGCAAAATTCAAAATACATCAAGCGAATACGCAAAACAGTGCGTAAAGTGCGCACGGCACTAACAAATAGTAAACTCATACACTCAACCAACCCGACAGGAGAACAACGACACACAACTACAAACAAAAACCAGAGGAAACTTATAGGTGACATAATAAAGTCGTGATGTGGAACAGGTGCACTAAACAGACAAAACCAAACAAACATAGATAACATCAAACGGTGGAAGCTAGTACTCCGGGGACGACGAACGCCGAAGCCTGCCCGAACAAGGAGGAGGAGCAGCCTCGGCGGAATTCGAGACACAGTCACAGCAAACAGTTCAAATCCATTACAGCAAACAGTGCAGGGCAAATAGAGACGGACAAAAACAGATAACTACTACAGTTGACCATTGTACTACAGATGAAGAGCATGTAATACTGTTGAATAGTCCAAACTGTCTGTATTAACTGCAAGAAGTGAACTTCAGAATGTAACATTAATTGTGTTCACCGCACAGTGTGTGTAAATAACAGCATATCAGCCATCTTGTCCTGGCCATAGCTAGCTAAAGAAGATATCTTATAATATACAGTGGGGAAAAAAAGTATTTATTCAGCCACCAATTGTGCAAGTTCTCCCACTTAAAAAGATGAGAGAGGCCTGTAATTTTCATCAAATGTACACGTCAACTATGACATACAAAATGAGATTTTTTTTCTCCAGAAAATCACATTGTAGGATTTTTTATGAATTTATTTGCAAATTATGGTGGAAAATAAGTATTTGGTCAATAACAAAAGTTTCTCAATACTTTGTTATATACCCTTTGTTGGCAATGACACAGGTAAAATGTTTTCTGTAAGTCTTCACAAGGTTTTCACACACTGTTGCTGGTATTTTGGCCCATTCCTCCATGCAGATCTCCTCTAGAGCAGTGATGTTTTGGGGCTGTCGCTGGGCAACACAGACTTTCAACTCCCTCCAAAGATTTTCTATGGGGTTGAGATCTGGAGACTGGCTAGGCCACTCCAGGACCTTGAAATGCTTCTTCGAAAGCCACTCCTTCGTTGCCCGGGCGGTGGGTTTGGGATCATTGTCATGCTGAAAGACCCAGCCACGTTTCATCTTCAATGCCCTTGCTGATGGAAGGAGGTTTTCACTCAAAATCTCACGATACATGGCCCCATTCATTCTTTCCTTTACACGGATAAGTCGTCCTGGTCCCTTTGCAGAAAAACAGCCCCAAAGCATGATGTTTCCACCCCTATGCTTCACAGTAGGTATGGTGTTCTTTGGATGCAACTCAGCATTCTTTGTCCTCCAAACACGATTAGAGTTGAGTTTTTACCAAAAAGTTATATTTTGGTTTCATCTGACCATATGACATTCTCCCAATCCTCTTCTGGATCATCCAAATGCACTCTAGCAAACTTCAGACGGGCCTGGACATGTACTGGCTTAAGCAGGGGGACACGTCTGGCACTGAAGGATTTGAGTCCCTGGCGGCGTAGTGTGTTACTGATGGTAGGCTTTGTTACTTTGGTCCCAGCTCTCTGCAGGTCATTCACTAGGTCCCCCCGTGTGGTTCTGGGATTTTTGCTCACCATTCTTGTGATCATTTTGACCCCATGGGGTGAGATCTTGCGTGGAGCCCCAGATCGAGGGAGATTATCAGTGGTCTTGTATGTCTTCCATTTCCTAATAATTGCTCCCACAGTTGATTTCTTCAAACCAAGCTGCTTACCTATTGCAGATTCAGTCTTCCCAGCCTGGTGCAGGTCTACAATTTTGTTTCTGGTGTCCTTTGACAGCTCTTTGGTCTTGGCCATAGTGGAGTTTGGAGTGTGACTGTTTGAGGTTGTGGACAGGTGTCTTTTATACTGATAACAAGTTCAAACAGGTGCCATTAATACAGGTAACGAGTGGAGGACAGAGGAGCCTCTTAAAGAAGAAGTTACAGGTCTGTGAGAGCCAGAACTCTTGCTTGTTTGTAGGTGACCAAATACTTATTTTCCACCATGATTTGCAAATAAATTCATTAAAAATCCTACAATGTGATTTTCTGGATATTTTTTTCTCAATTTGTCTGTCATAGTTGACGTGTACCTATGATGAAAATTACAGGCCTCTCACATCTTTTTAAGTGGGAGAACTTGCACAATTGGTGGCTGACTAAATACTTTTTTCCCCCACTGTATATGTAATCGATATACACTGCAAATACACAAAGCACTGCAGATGAAAGGAAAGGCAGAGTCGGAGTCAGGAAACAACATTGAGTGATGCAAGACAAGACAAGCTACTGACAGGAAATGTCATTTTCAGAGGTGAGACACTGTGGCTTGGGTGCTGCACTAGCCTATCCATCTTGTTTTTCAAGCTTATGCAAACCTTTTCATCTTTTGAACTTCGCTTTTCACTGTAGTAAGCAAAAGTAACAGGGTCTCACAGCTTCCACAGCCTACATAAAGATTGAAACATACCAGCTACAATAGGCATATTTCGGTGCTGGGGAGAAAGAGGAAACAATGAAAAAAGTAATTTCTACATCTCTGATATTGCGGGAACATATTTGTGGCCATTACTTTTGAATAGACCAATATAAGCTCTCAAAGTCCCCATGCCCATTCCATTCCAGGTGATGGTCAGAAGGAGGGAGAGTTGAACCAGGAAGCCAAGTCCCCGACTGAGAGCGTTAAAGCGGACCTGAACGACTGCCCCAGAGACTCTGGCTGCTACATCCCTTCTGACTGCTCAGACAACAGCAAGGAGGAGACAGACATCCACCTGCCAGCACTGCACCATCATCCTCCCATGGATCAGACCTAACCACCTCCTGCAGATAGACACTCCTAAGGGCCTGCCGCACTAGCAGAAAATTTATTGTTGTGGATCGATGCAATTCACCCGAATCATGGTCTAATGTGAAAGCCCTTTTCTTCAAGACAAGAGCACTCCTTTTTGCTTTCATACTGCATTTAGTATCTGTAGCCTATGTGGCTGTCACTGCAATTGTTATGTATGAAGCTACTGTACACAATTTCCTGTTCTAGTGAGTTGGCTTGGTGGCTGATTTGTAAATGTTAATGATGATGTAACCAAAGCCTTTACAGCTGTTCAAATCACTCTGTCATTGGACCTGTGAAATCATCGCAGTAGGCTTTGTTTTTAGCACAATGTGCAATGTCAACTTTACTGTGTGTGGGTGTACAGTACAAGAGGTGCCTGTGGAAGTGGGAGAGATTAAATGCAGGCAGGTCACCCGAATAACAAGTCAGAATTCAACGTCCATCCATGTCTGAGGAGGTCGGGAGAGGATGTGGAAACTGGCCACTAGGGGCAACAGTATGTGCTGTTACCTTTAAGTAGGTGTTGTGGACAGGGATGGCTGATGGGCGTAAGCATCTGCCTGTGGCTCCAAAGGTTGCATGTTTAAATCCAGCGACAAAGTTGTTTTTTTATATTTTTGTTTTAAGCCTATCCCTAACCTTAACCCTTACCTTAACCATTCGGCGTTAATGCATAACCTTAAGAATTCTGAGTTAATGCCTAACCTTAAGAATTCTGAGTTAATACCTAAACTTAACCTTGGAACGATACAGAGAAGTAACCAAACACTTTGAAGTTTGATGTTTGAGAAACATGGATGAACGTCTAATTCTGATGTGCGACTGTGAGAGCTTGTTGATTAAATTAGGGTTTAAAGGATTTTCCTACTGTATCTTACAGTATTGGTTTATGGTATTATTTAACATTTTGTTTAAGTGATTTGAGAGTTAGTAGCTTACTGTCAGTTTCTTGAATGCTCTCCTTCATTCTAGCAATTGTTACACCAATGTATTATTGAAACACCTATGAAATCTCTTTGCAAAAATACATTATTATAATTTTCTGCAGCTGTTAAATCATTTATGGTGAGAATGGCACACAGGGCAAAACATTTTTTTGCTGAAGTTTCGACGGGAAGAACAACCAGCAGAAGTATGGCAATTTATAGGAGGTTGGTAAAAATTATTCACAATACAGTAAAAGACGATTTATGGTCATTCCGGAGTCTGCATTGGCCGTACAGCATTTACTGCGATGCGGCCTCTGCAGAAGTCAGAGCATTCATACCAACAGAGCTGTTGGTTAAGGAAGTTGTCAAGGAAGTGAGTTTGTGTTTAAACATGTCAATGCAGACTATACGGAGCTATACGGAGCCCTCCGCATTGTTACAAAATGTAGGAGGCGCCCGGCGATGCCTCCGGAGGCTCTGCAATTGCGTCACCACATCCGTACGGAGCCTCTGGACCGCATTTTCAGGATCAAGCATAAATCGGCATTAACTTATTAACAGTTCGCATATGCATGAAATAAGCACACTTTGGATACATTTACATTCTTTATTAATGCAAGTCATTGATTTGAGATGGAAATCTGAGAGGTACATCACGCTGTCCTTACTTCAGAGCATGAGTCCACATGGTGGCAGTGTTGTCAAAGTCCCTTAGCAACCACCATGTATCCTGGATGGGGCCTTATCCAACACAGGCCTACTCATTCCAAAATGTATAATCCTGAACTAAATGGACTTGACCATTCTGTTGATATGGGTGTGTCATTAGTAATGAATGAAGAAACGTTTCATAGATGAATAATAGCACAATCAGGATCCTCAAAAAACAGATCAGTGAAACACTACAATTAAGAAATATGCTTGTTTTGCCATTTCACACAATTATGGATTTTTATATCAACAAAAAATGTGACAAATATTACAATAAGTAGAATTAGCACAGTGAGGTAAAAAAGAAATATCCACAATAAATGATGTACAGCTACACCGTCGTGTTTCTCCAAGATAATGGGACACATCCATTGGTTTGTTTGCACATATGATCTACATACCTGAAATACTATTTATAGGACTTGTGTCATGTAACAATATAAATATTGAAAAACACTGCTACTGCGACCGGCTCTTATTGTAACATACCAGAAACGACTTTACAAAAAGGCAGCCACGTGAAGAGATACAGTGCCTTGCAAAAGTATTCATCCCCCTTGGCGTTTTTCCTATTTTGTTGCATTACAACCTGTAATTTAAATGGATTTTTATTTGGATTTCATGTAATGGATATACACAAAATAGTCCAAATTGGTGAAGTGAAATTAAAAAAATAACTTGTTTCCAAAAATTATAATAAAAGAAATAACGGTGCGTGCATATGTATTCACCCCCTTTGCTATGAAGCCCCTAAATAAGATCTAGTTCAATAAAGTCCACCTGTGTGTAATCTAAGTGTCACATGATCTGTCACATGATCTCAGTATATATACACATGTTCTGAAAGGCCCCAGAGTCCGCAACACCACTAAGCAAGGGGCACCACCAAGCAAGCGGCACCATGAAGACCAAGGAGCTCTCCAAACAGGTCAGGGACAAAGTTGTGGAGAAGTACAGATCAGGGTTGGGTTATAAAAAAATATCAGAAACTTTGAACATCCCACGGAGCACCATAAAATCCATTATTAAAAATGGAAAGAATATGGCACCACAACAAACCTGCCAAGAGAGGGCTGCCCACCAAAACCCACGGACCAGGCAAGGAGGGCATTAATCAGAGAGGCAACAAAGAGACCAAAGATAACCCTGAAGGAGCTACAAAGCTCCACAGCAGAGATTGGAGTATCTGTCAATAGGACCACTTTAAGCCGTACAATCCAGAGCTGGGCTTTACGGAAGAGTGGCCAGAAAAAAGCCATTGCATAAAGAATAAAATAAGCACGTTTGGTGTTTGCCAAAAGACATGTGGGAGACTCCCCAAACATATGGAAGAAGGTACTCTGGTCAGATGAGACTAAAATTTAGCTTTTTGGCCATCAAGGAAAACGCTATGTCTGGCGCAAACCCAACACCTCTCATCACCCCGAGAACACCATCCCCACAGTGAAGCATGGTGGTGGCAGCATCATGCTGTGGGGATGTTTTTCATCAGCATGGACTGGGAAAATGGTCAGAATTGAAGGAATGATGGATGATGCTAAATACAGGGAAATTCTTGAGGGAAACCTGTTTCAGTTTTCCAGAGATTTGAGACTGGGACAGAGGTTCACCTTCCAGCAGGACAATGACCCTAAGCATACTGCTAAAGCAACACTTGAGTGGTTTAAGGGGAAACTTTAAAATGTCTTGGAATGACCTAGTCAAAGCCCAGACCTCAATCCAATTGATAATCTGTGGTATGACTTAAAGATTGCTGTACACCAGCAGTTTTGCCTTGAAGAATGGGCAAAAATCTCAGTGGCTAGATGTGCCAAGCTTATAGAGACATACCCCAAGAGACTTGCAGCTGTAATTGCTGCAAAAGGTGGCTCTACAAAGTATTGACTTTTTTTTTTGGGGGGGGGGGGGGGGGGGGTGTTTTTTTGTCTTCTTGTTTGTTTCACAAGAAAAAATATTTTGCATCTTCAAAGTGGTAGGCATGTTGTGTAAATCAAATGATACAAACCCCCCAAAAATCCATTTTAATTCCAGGTTGTAAGGCAACAGAATAGGAAAAATGACAAGGGGGGGTGAATACTTTCGCAAGCCACTGTAAAGATATAACTTCAACCTAAAGCAAACCAATCATGGCATGACAGAAGAGGCAGAGAAAATATGATTGCAACATGGACTATCTTGACTATTGAATGCCCTTCATGTGCATCCCTGTATAACCACAATGCAAGAACAGTGTAAGTTCATTCCCATAATGCAAAATGTAATTCACACATCGATAGGAGAGGACACGCATGTTAGAGATTTCAGTCTTATATCATACAATTCAGAACTCCAAACCATGAAAATCCCCTGAGGGAAAATAAAATAACAGAAAAACTAAACTAAAAAAAAAAACTTAACTCCTCTGCTACATAAACAAATTAGCGAAGAAAAAACATCCCATGATCCGTCAGAACCAGAAATACAACTTCTAAAAAGGTCACTCCAGCAAGAAGGTCAACAGTCTTCAAAATATTGAACATTCAGAACTTTAAAGTTCAAATTTCCAACATGTTGGCAGAAACATCCATGTTTACAATAGCAGCCATTGTGATTCTGTCTGTTGCAGTCAACGTGTGATGCCGTCATAAGTGTAGCTGTCACAACCAGCTCAGACAGGTACAGAGAAAACTCATCCTTCCTGCACATTGGCGTAGCCATTCTCAGGGTATAGAGACAGTTCATCAACGGGCCATTGTCCTGGCCATTCTCCAGGTATACAGACACAGCTCACTTGTACTGCCCAATGTCGTAGCCATTCTCTGGATATAGATGTTCATCTGTAGTGGTTACTCCATTGCTTACCTCTAAAAAAGGAGAGAAAAGAAGAGTTCAACTTTGACCCTCACTCTTTTCCATTCTTGATTAGGTCAAGTGGGTTAGTTCGACCATGGCGCTGGCAACACCGTTTTGGTACCTGAAAATATGAGCTTCTCCTTCATGATGTTGACATCCCGGCTGGGCCTGCGCGCCACAGCACTCAGCATGATCTGCTCTGGGTTGTAGTTCTGCATGCCACTCATCCTCCACCTGGTGCAGCACAGAGAGGCACAGCACTGTCAGACACACCATTAGAATCAGTGGAGGCTGCTGAGGAGAGGACGGCTCATAATAATGTCTGAAATGGTGTCAACGGAGTGGTATTAACCACATGGAAACCATGTTTATGATGTGTTTAATACCATTCCATTGACTACATTCCAGACATTATTATGAGCTGTCCTTCCCTCAGAAGCCTCTACTGGTTAGAATTGATATAAACATTGACAAATGATGAATACATTAAGAAAAATGAAACCTATAGTGTTCACTGAGTACATGAGCTTTAGAGACACAAGAGAAGAACAAGGACAGAAGACAGATAAGACAGAAAACAAGAAAGCAACATGAGCCAGGGAAGTCACCTCGGTTACCTGATCACGTGATAGCTGACAGATGCCAGAGTGCAGCAGAGAAACGTAGCATGCAGATCAGGCAGAATAAAGGACAAACAAGGCAAAGAGAGAGGAAGGAGGAAGGAATAAATGAGAGACAGTGAGAAGGAGAGAAATGGAAACAGTGATGAGGAGAAGAATGAGAGACAGTAAACAAAGAAAGCGAGAGAGCAGAAAGGCAGGGCAGTGAAAGGGAAAGAGCAGAAGAGTCAGTTGAGATGCAGAATGCTATGCAGCACAAACCTCATCACACAGAGATCAAAGTAGAGTCAGACCTCTACCATTACACAACAGTTATGATAAACGTTTACAGTGGAGCAGACATAAAGTATGCTGCAAATATACAACTGCTGATAGCAAAATGAGAAGGAAATCAAGTTTAATAATAGAATCTCAATAAAAAATGGGTACCTACTTTTGAAAGATGAATATTCCTATAACTATGGCGATGGAGACTAGATCGGAGGTGATCCAGACCAAGCAGTATTCATCTGGGCTCTGGAACAACAAGACAGCCACTGAGAACCAACATCCTCCACCACTAGATGGGAGCATCACCACACAAACATACGTCTTGCAGTATCGCTCATACATTTTTTGCAGAAGAAGCTTTATTTTGGTGGCGTCTGGTACATTCTAATGCCTCGATTCCATCTGAAATACACAGCAAAATTATTGAATACTTTATCGAGATACCTCCCAGATTAAAAAAAATCAGTTGTAGTATTGTTTAGAAAGACATGGCTTTACAATTTAAATTACTGAAAATGTATGAATTCAGTGTATTGTTAGTTGTTTTTGATATTATCTAGGCCTATATGATCAGGTCTATTTTCTAAGGAAGAGAACATTAAACCTTTTTAACATTTAACCTGTCTTCTCTTGAGATAAGTCTTATTTACAGTTTTACTGCAAGATATGAATTGCCACAATTATGTTTGTTCTTCAAATTATGTATTTTATTAAACAGAAAAATGAAGTAAATAGCCCACAATTATCTTGAAAAATAAATTTCAGATTTTGTTTTTCCAAGTTTCCGTTATTCCCACTTTTTTTAATAGAAAACCCACACAATTGGATGTTCTAAGTCCACAACAATGCTTAAACCACATTTTGAGGTCTGGGAAAAATCGAAAAAAACTAAAACAAATACCCACTGGATTGATTAATATAATCATGATATCATTCTGCCAGGTAAGCATAGGCTACTTTGTATTTAACATTTAATTGATCAGGTTTTTGGGAAAGCCTTTCCATCTAGCAGAAGACTGTTTTCATTAGCATCATCGCTAACGGCTACACAAAGTGGTAGATGTGCGCACTGCACACACACAGACGGGCATTCTCCTTGCTTCGTCAGAAAGTTGCAGGAAATTCAAATCACTGATGCATTCTGTTCATGTCTTATGATAAACTTGGGCAAATGAATACCTTTTCAATAGATTTAGTTGATTCCCTACTAAGGTCAATACATTTTTGAACATTGTTCAATTCTGTTTTAATGCCTGAAGGCCCAAATTATCATATTTGGACTAGAATTATGCTCTCCACTACCTATTGTTCCTGCAGTGATGATTCACCATCTTCATCGAATTTTTTCATAATTTATCTGCAGACAATCTGTAAAAAGTCTAGGCCTACCAGTAGCCTATGCAAATTAGGGAGCCAAATGAACAGCTCTCTCACCGATGCGATTCGGTAGGCTACACTCACTACCTACAGTGGGGGAAAAAAGTATTTAGTCAGCCACCAATTGTGCAAGTTCTCCCACTTAAAAATATGAGAGAGGCCTGTAATTTTCATCATAGGTACACGTCAACTATGACAGACAAATTGAGGGGAAAAAAATCCTGAAAATCACATTGTAGGATTTTTAATGAATTTATTTGCAGATTATGGTGGAAAATAAGTATTTGGTCACCTACAAACAAGCAAGATTTCTGGCTCTCACAGACCTGTAACTTCTTCTTTAAGAGGCTCCTCTGTCCTCCACTCGTTACCTGTATTAATGGCACCTGTTTGAACTTGTTATCAGTATAAAAGACACCTGTCCACAACCTCAAACAGTCACACTCCAAACTCCACTATGGCCAAGACCAAAGAGCCGTCAAAGGACACCAGAAACAAAATTGTAGACCTGCACCAGGCTGGAAAGACTGAATCTGCAATAGGTAAGCAGCTTGGTTTGAAGAAATCAACTGTGGGAGCAATTATTAGGAAATGGAAGACATACAACTCGTCGTGTTTGGAGGACAAAGAATGCTGAGTTGCATCCAAAGAACACCATACCTACTGTGAAGCATGGGGGTGGAAACATCATGCTTTGGGGCTGTTTTTCTGCAAAGGGACCAGGACGACTGATCCGTGTAAAGGAAAGAATGAATGGGGCCATGTATCGTGAGATATTGAGTGAAAACCTCCTTCCATCAGCAAGGGCATTGAAGATGAAACGTGGCTGGGTCTTTCAGCATGACAATGATCCCAAACACACCGCCCGGGCAACAAAGGAGTGGCTTCCTAAGAAGCATTTCAAGGTCCTGGAGTGGCCTAGCCAGTCTCCAGATCTCAACCCCATAGAAAATCTTTGGACGGAGTTGATAGTCCGTGTTGCCCAGCGACAGCCCCAAAACATCACTGCTCTAGAGGAGATCTGCATGGAGGAATGGGCCAAAATACCAGCAACAGTGTGTGAAAACCTTGTGAAGACTTACAGAAAACGTTTGACCTGTGTCATTGCCAACAAAGGGTATATAACAAAGTATTGAGAAACTTTTGTTATTGACCAAATACTTATTTTCCACCATAATTTGCAAATAAATTCATTAAAAATCCTACAATGTGATTTTCTGGATTGTTTTTCCTCATTTTGTCTGTCATAGTTGACGTGTACCTATGATGAAAATTACAGGCCTCTCTCATCTTTTTAAGTGGGAGAACTTGCACAATTGGTGGCTGACTAAATACTTTTTTCCCCACTGTATGTTTCCATTAACTTGTCCAGTGATTTTTTTTTTACATTTAGAAAGTTTGCATAGAAAATAGATGTGACAATTGCCTGCTAGGCTGTGTTTCCATGTAATTATCTTCTGTTGATAAAAACAGCTGGACGTAATGATGTCATACCAAAAACCAACAGTATCGAATAAAAATGTAGTGGTTGACGTGTTTCAATTACCCAATTAGGAAAATAGTGCATTAATAAGGGACAGATCTAAATTTACTGGGGGGAGGGGCTGGTCCAACTCAAGCTGTCATAAAATAATTACACCCCTGCCCTTGTACAGTAAAACAAATTGAACACACTTCCCCTTCAAAGAATTCACCCACAAATAACAATAACTGTAGCGACCGTGTGGTTATAAACGTGGATATCAACTTTGCCACTTCAGCATGCTTTTGTGGTGCAGTCGATGCCACGCAGGGCTACAGGCCAGAAGGTTGAGGGTTCGCCGACCACCATAGACGACCTCACTCTCACTGCCTGTTTCATTACACTACGATCAGAGTCGTCTGCAGACAACGATCAGCTAGGGGGAAATCAGATTTTCCTAATTTTGATGCCATATTTATTATTATATAAAATATATGCAACAACTTTTCCACCAACAGGTTGCTGTGCCAATGCACCACACAACCAATAAACAAAGTCAGTATCGAGGGATATACAGTGCATTAGGAAAGTATTCAGACCCCTTGACTTTTTCAACATTTTGCTAAGTTATAGCCTTATTCTAAAATTGATTAAATTGTTTTTTTCCTCATCAATCTACACACAATACCCCATAATGACAAAGCAAAAACAGGTTTTTAGAAATTTGTACACATAATTTTTTTTAACTAAAAACTTAAATATCACGTTTACATAAGTATTCACCCTTTACTCAATACTTTGTTGAAGCACCTTTGGTAGTGATTACAGCCTCGAGACTTCTTGGGTATGACGCTACCTGCTTGGCACACCTGTATATGGGGAGTTTCTCCCATTCTTCCCTGCAGACCCTCTCAAGCTCTGTCAGGTTGGATGGGGAGCGTCGCAGCACAGCTATTTTCAGGTCTCTCCAGAGATGTTCCATCGGGTTCAAGGCTCTGGCTGGACCACTCAAGGACATTCAGAGACTTGTCCCGAAGCCACTCCTGCGTTGTCTTGGCTGTGTGCTTAGGGTCATTGTCCTGTTGGAAGGTGAACCTTCGCCCCAGTCTGAGGTTCTGAGTGCTCTGGAGCAGGTTTTCATCAAGGATCTCTCTGTACTTTGCTCCGTTCATCTTTCCCTTGATCCTGACTAGTCTCCCAGTCCCTGCCACTGAAAAACATCCCCACAGCATGATGCTGCCACCACCATGCTTCACCGTAGGGATGGTGCCAGGTTTCCTCCAGACGTGACGCTTAGCATTGAGGCCAAAGAGTTCAATCTTGGTTTCATCAGACCAGAGAATCTTTTTTCTCATGGTCTGAGAATCTTTAGGTGCCTTTTGGCAAACTTCAAGCAGGCTGTCATGCACCTTTTACTGAGGAGTGGCTTCCGCTGGCCACTCTACCATAAAGGCCTGATTGGTGATGGATTGCTGCAGGGATGGTTATCCTTCTGGAAGGTTCTCCCATCTCCACAGAGGTACTCTAGAGCTCTGTCAGAGTGACCATTAGGTTCTTGGTCACCTCCCTGATCAAGGCCTTTCTCCCACAATTGCTCAGTTTGGCTGGGCAGCAAGCGCTAGGAAGAGTCTTGGTGGTTCCTAACATCTTTCATTTAAGAATGATGGAGGCCACTGTGTTCCTGGGGACCTTCAATGCTGCAGAAATGTTTTGGTACCCTTCCTTAGATCTGTGCCTTGACACAATCCTGTCTCGGAGCTCTACGGACAATTCCTTCGTCCTCATGGCTTGGTTTTTCTCTGACATGCACTGTCAACTGTGGGACCTTATATAGACAGGTGTGTGCCTTTCCAAATCATGTCCAATCAATTGAATTTATCACAGGTGGACTCCAATCAAGTTGTAGAAACATCTCAAGGATGATCAGTGGAAACAGGATGCACCTGAGCTCAATTTCGAGTCTCATGGCAAAGGAGCTGAATACTTACAGTGAGGGAAAAAAGTATTTGATCCCCTGCTGATTTTGTACGTTTGCCCACTGACAAAGACATGATCAGTCTATAATTTTAATGGTAGGTTTATTTGAACAGTGAGAGACAGAATAACAACAACAAAATCCAGAAAAATGCATGTCAAAAATGTTATAAATTGATTTGCATTTTAATTAGGGAAATAAGTATTTGACCCGTCTGCAAAACATGACTTAGTACTTGGTGGCAAAACCCTTGTTGGCAATCACAGAGGTCAGACGTTTCTTGTAGTTGGCCACCAGGTTTGCACACATCTCAGAAGGGATTTTGTCCCACTCCTCTTTGCAGATCTTCTCCAAGTCATTAAGGTTTCGAGGCTGACGTTTGGCAACTCGAACCTTCAGCTCCCTCCACAGATTTTCTATGGGATTAAGGTC